AAGGCCACGGGGTCACGGCGGGGTGGCACGGGGTGCGGAGGTGAGGACGGCGCTGCCTCCACGTGCCTCAGTTTCCCCACGCCGGCCGGCTGCGGGGATTGTTTCCGCCGCCTTTCGGTTCCTGGCGGTTCACTCCCGGGCCAGGCCACTCCTCCGGCGTGACATCAGGGCCGGGAGCCGCGGCGGGGAGGCGGTGGCGGCGGCGGTGGCGACGGGGCAGCGGGCGCCATGAAGTCGGAGCAGGAGGAGCGGGCAGCGGCAGCCCCCGGCGCATCGCCACGGCCACGGCGAGGGACGGCGGCAGCGGGCGGCGGGGACGCGCGGGGCAGGATGCGTCCCGGCCTGGCCCCCGTGGGTAAGGGGGCAGGAGGGAGGAGCTCCAACTTACTTTTAACTTCATTTTTTTATAATTTTTTTAAAATATGTTTTATTATTAGTTTTTTCCATGTGCGGAAGGAACAAAAAGCCGCCCGCATGCGGGGCGCGCGGACGCTTGCAGGGTGTCACCGCGGTGCCACCGAGGTCACGGCCCCGCTGCTCCCAAACCCCCCCCGCCTTCCCCTCCCAGCCCTGTGTGTCGGGATTTCGGCTCGTCCCGAGGCGCTCAGCCTTCTGCTCCCCCTGACAAATGTATTTTGGGGAGGCTTAGGGGTGCCTGGTAACCTTGCGGGTAGGTTCTCCCCCAATTTAGTGCCCGTTGGGATGCACCGAGAGGGGGAACGCTGCCGGTCCCCGCGGTGATTGGAGGGTTTGGGGTGAACCTGGCTCGGGTACCCAAAAATGCAGCTCCAAACCAGAGCTGCTCAGCTCTCCGGACTGGTGGGGTGCTTGGTCGGGGATGAGCCGGACACATCCCTGGGGCTAAATCCTAATTTTTTGTCTAATAATTGCTCTTTAGCCTGTGATCCCTGTGTCCTAGGAAACAGATGTGTGTGTGTCTGTATGGAGAGACGTTTTTATAAGTTTATTATATACACACACAAATATAAAACCCCCGGGCTGGGGCTGTGCAGGAGGCAGGAGGGGCCTGAGTTTCGCCCCGTGCCCTCCGTGGGCATGGACCTGAGGGTGAAAAATGGTGAAAATGGCAAAAATGGCAAAAAAGCAGCTCCCGCCCGAGGTAGGAACCGCGCCACCGTAAACCCCGCTGCAAGGAAACCCGTCGCAGTCCTTTTTAATAGATGCCCTCTGATGGCAAAGGCGTGTGCGTAGCGGTGGTGTCGGCTGAGTTACACGGGGAAAAAAATCTTCCAAGGGGATGTTCGAAATTGGTGCCTGGTACGGGGCCAGGAAAAGGTTCCCTGGCCTGGGGATCCGCTCCAGAGCAGCCAGAGATGGGATTTGCAGGAGCTGGAGGGGAAAGCTCAGCTCCGAATGCTGTGCGGAGGTATTCGCTGCGGATGCTTCAAAAAATTAGAAAAAGGAATAATTCAAGGAAAAAAAATCTATTATTTACATTGTCTGTTAACGCTAATCAGTGCTCAAAGCATAAAGGATGTAGGATCCGGCAGTGTCAGGGAAGTTTAATGCTATCAACTAAAATATAATTAACAGGCAATTATTTCGGTGTGAATGGTAGTTTTCATCAATTAGTCTGGGAAATGTCTAAATTGCATTAATTTCACAAGCTGCCCGTTTGTGGCAGCTCTGAAAGCTGCGGGGCTGGAGGAGGGGAGCTCCCGCCGGTTACTGTGGCGCCCCGTTAGGAGGCAGGGCACAAAACCACCCCAAAAAATTAAAAAAAAAAAGGCTGAAAGCAAAAGAAGGAGAAGGCAAAAAATAAGAAAAAAGGCAGAGGAAAGTGCGTTGCAGCAGCTTTTTGTACAAGGACTTTTGCAAGGGGTGGGATTTGTGCGTGGGGGCTGCTGCCACCCCAAATCCACCTTGCAGATGCTGCGGGGATGTGAGCGTCGCTGCGAGCCCCACCACCAAAACCCGAGCACCTTTGGGTTGAATATGAGCGGGTTTGGGTTAAAAGAGCAACCACGGCTTTGCGCTAGCAGCGGCGGGGCTGGGGCTGGAGCTGTGGATTCTGTTTTTTTAGGTCATTTTTGCGCAATTCCAGAATCCCCCAGGGCTGCAGGGTGTAGGGGCTGAGTCGAGGTTCCCAGTAATTATTGGCCTTATTTTCCCCGTTACTGGGATTTCCCAAGGAGGTCGCTCAGCTGGGAAGCGGCACCTTTTGGGGCCCGGGGCGTTGCTTTAGGTGCCGAGGCCTCGAGGTCCTGCTTTGTCCTCTCCTAACCCCGAGCTGCAGCATCCCTCACACCTTGTCACTCTCTTAATACACTCTATATTTTTTTCCTTAAGCATTTTCTTAAGGAGACTTGATGAGAGGAGAAATTCTGGCTTCTTTCCCCCAAAAAAAAACCTTTAAAAACCTTTCTGGGATCAGCGTGGCGGGTTCTTGCCTTTAAACCCGCCTCTGGCTTCAGCAGCGGAGGCAGCCCCAGGAGGCAGGGAGGAGGACGAGACTTCTCCAGGGGTTGGAGCAGCTCCTGGCGTGTCTGGTGCTGTTTGAGCAGGGCGAGATGTTGGGATTTTTCCCCTCGAAACTTGGATTTTTGGGCTGTGCTTCTCCCCGTGGATATATATTAGTAATACAGAGCCGGTGTCTGTCGTGAAGCGTCCTCACCGCGGTTCAGGCTCGTTCCCTCAAACCAATCCAAGCTCAGTAGAAAAATCAGCTCTTTAACAGTAAAATCTATTTTTTAAAGTTTTTAAAAAGTTAGAAAATCGATTAAATAGTTTCCAAATAAAATCAAAAAGCAAGGGAAGTTACACAGCGTGCACGAGAGCAGCTCAGTGAAGCCCACGTGTGCTCCAGCGGGTTCGGTCTCGTGCATTTGTTGCACTCGTTGGCCCTGCAGCTGGTTGTGGGTCTTAATTTTAATTTCTGCAAAAGTTTTCACCTCTGTCTGCGGGGCTGTGGTTGCGTGAGGATGTCTTGGGCACCAAAGCAACCCCAGTTGGGAATTACGGCACTGGGGGGACCCAAGGTGGCCGCGGTGCGCTCCCTGCCCTGCCCTGTGCGCCCGTGCTCTGCGGTTAATCATTTGCCAGGGAACTGCCAACCGTGGCTCCCAGGACAAGAAAAAAGCCAAAACGAAGGTGAAAATGAATCAGGGGAGGGAAAAAAGGAATTAAAAGGCGATCGGTGGGTTTGTGGGGTTGCCTGAGCGAGCCTCGTGCCCAGGGCGGCAAGGCTGCAGGGTCGGTCGTGCAAGCAAAATGGGATTTTGGGGGGATTTTGGGGAGGCGAGCGACTTGCTGCAGATCCTCGCCAGTACCCACGTGCATCCTGCTCCTGTGTCCTGTCCCCTCCGTGCCTGTCCTCGCCCGCCGACGTGCAACGAAGGCGCTCGGTGGCACGGTCTCAGAAACACACCCCTGGAGCACACCCTGCGCGCCCCCAGTCCGGGCCCTGCCCCTCGCGTTTTCCCCGGTTTCCTGCACGCCGGAGGCCAAAACTCAGGATTTCTCCGGCCCCCTGGGAAACGGGAACATGGGCAGAGCTGAGCCAAGCTCCTCGGACGCGTATTTATTCAAGCTTTTTGCAAGGATTTCAAGAAAGCACTTTGGACTTTAATGAAATCCCCAGCCCGGAGCTCGAATGTTCCTCGTTAGTGACTTTATTGCTAAATAATTTACAGAACGAGGCCCTGCCAGTTTTCATAAGGGAAGCATTTCAAGTATGCAAACCAGATTTTATGCCTTTCCAGAGCAGCTGCTGGCTCGGGCACCGAAGGGACCCGGGCACCACATCGGGGTGCAGCAGTCCCAGGGGCTCGCCCCAGCCCTGGCAATTTGGGTTTTTCCTCCAGTTTTTCCTCCACCTTTCAGGAGGGTGGGAAGCAGCCACACAGGTAGGGGTCACTCAGTGCATTTCTGCTAGAAATAAACTAAAAAATAATAATAATAATAAAATAAATAGATTTTATGCTGGAGTGGCTGAGAGGTGGCATGGACAGGACCGAAACACAGCTGAGTGCAGAGAAAACATCGATTTATTTTTTTTAGATTGATACAAGTTTTTATATTTATATATTTATAATATTTATAATCTAATTCTTTTTTTCCCCAGGACCTGTAACATGCATGCTGGGGTTTCTTTTTAGCACAGGCTTTGGGTTTCAGGCTGCTGCCATGGTTTGGGGAGCCACGGTGCAGTTATTCAGCACCGGCCCCAAGCACGCTGCTGTCCTGGGGGAAAACAGGCAGAAATGGCCATTTACGCTATTGCTGGTAGTTGGTTCACCCAGGGGAGGTTTTTTTGCTTATGTGGAAGGACAAATCAAGTTAATTTTCTTTTTCAAAGAAGGTGGTGGAGCAACAGGGTGAGGAAAAGCACAGGCAGGCTGCTCGTGTGCTCGAAGCGCATGGGTTTGGATGGCAACATCTGGCTGCAGTGGGCCAGGGAGAGGATGGGAAGGGGAAAAGGGGGCTGTGGGTACAGCTTGGAGGTGAGAGAAAAGCACCTGAATGCGGGCTGGGACGTGCCGAGGAGCTCACAAGAGCAGCTGCTTTGCTGGGTGTAAATCTGGGGAGCATCGCGTGGAAGCAGCGCCTTCACCTACCCAGCCCCAGAGCAGGTGTTGGGTTTTCCTAAACGCATCCCGAGCACAGGGCAATGCTGCAGAGCTCCTTGGCCACCCAAGCACCCATCCCTGTGAGACAACTGCAGCTCCAGCGGCTCCTGCTCCTGTGCTTTGAACATTTTGGTGCACCTCGGGAATTACCTGGATTTCAGGTTTTTCAGGCGGTTTGGATGGGGAAAAAATTCTTTATTTTTCTTACTATTTATTGTTGCTTGGACGGTTGGCCTGATGATCTCGGAGGTCTTTTCCAACCTAAATGATCCTCTGACCTCTTGTTAATTAACTTATTTCCCACTCTGTGTTGCTGGTTATTGCTGTGTCGTGTGACTTGTTGCTGCTACCCGTGAGTGGGTCCTGAGCGGGCGGCGCTGACGTGCCCGCGTTGTTTTCCCTCTCCCCCAGCGCTGCTGCGAGAAGAGGTGGCCCAGCTGCAGGAGGAGGTCCACCTGCTCCGGCAAATGAAGGAGATGCTGTCGAAAGACCTGGAGGAGACGCACGGCACCAAGTCCCCCGAGGTGCTCTCGGCCACCGAGCTCAAGGTGCAGCTGGCACAGAAGGAGCAGGAGCTGGCGCGCGCCAAGGAGGCTCTGCAGGGTAAGGGCTGCCCCAACGGGGCTTTTTTCCAGGTGTTTTGGAACCCCAGAGCATCACCGCGAGTTAGTTAATGAGGGAAGGAGAAGGCATCCCTCGTATTTGGGTGAGGTGGTGCAAGGGGGGGTGCTGGATACAAGGGGTGCTCCCTGAGCATCCTCGGCGCTGCCCCACCGGCGAGGGCAGCGGGTTGGGGAGTAGGGAGCACGCAGTGCTCGTGGCATTGCAAAGCTCTGCTGCTAAATCGAGAGGAAAACCAAGCTGAAACGCAGCTGGAAAATGTTGCGGGATGGGCTTGGTTCAGATTTGAGGTCCTTGGACCCTTTCAGAGGGGAGCAGCAGGGCTCCTGGCGATGCACGCGTGCTTCGTGCGTCCTCCCGCGGGGAGAGCTCGCTGCGCACCCCGGTGATGGGTTGTGCAGGGCAAAACCTCACGGCGCAGGTTTTCCTCCCCAGAAAACCTCTTCCTGCTGAATAAACTGGAGAGGAGTACAGGCGGGGTGATGTGGGACCCAGGGTGGGGGCACTGCATGGGGCTGGGGCTGGGAGTGGGATTTGCGGGGCTGGGAATCACCCCTGGTCCCTCTGCTTTCTTGTGTCATCGCTCTTTGGGGACGTGCAAATAAAGGAATTGGACCTCTTTAGAAATTTCTCCGGTGTTATGGGGCTTGGAGATGTTTCTTGCTGTTTGACCAGGCAGTTTTTTTTCCATGCAAAATCAGGTGTCAGGGCAGAGAAATCTGAAGTCTTGGAGGATTGATAGTTCTGCACAAAAAAATAAAAATGCAAAGTGCTGCTGGGTGTGCGTGAGCAAGGAGCTTTCCCCCACTCCACTGGCTCAGTCTCCAGCAGCAGGAAATGCTCTGGGTTTCCAACACCACACTCGGGGAAAAAAATCTTCATTAGAGGAGCCTCGGTCCAGGCAGAAGTGCTGATAAATGCAAAAATATGCAAAAGCAGGATGGATTCAAGACTGTTTGGAAAAAAAAAAAGTCATTTAAGAGGGTTGTACACGCTTCTGCAGAGGACAGTGCAGAAAAAAAGATGAGATTGGCTTGAGAATCAGGGGTGTTTAAGGAATATATATATATTTTTATTGGGCTTTTACTGGCCTGCTGGGATTTGTTTTCCAGGACTTCCTGCAGGTGGGATGGGTGGGATGGGGGGGACTCGGCGGTGGAACAAGAAGTGGTTTTAAACCAGTGCTGCTTCCCTCCCCTCACACACTGGAAAGCTTCCCCTCGCTTGGAGAAGCCGCTGGTGCTGGATCCATCCCCAAGAGCTGGGCAGAAACTTTATTTCCTTCCCGCGGAGAGAAACGCGGCAAGAAACGGAAGGGAAAAAAAGGGCAGAAACTCCAAAAAAACGCATCCGCCGGCGTCGTCAACTGGGGAACCGATGGCTGCGGGTTCAGGAGCTGCTGCAAACCTCTCCAGGCTTCTCCGTGGCTCAGGATCCAGGCAGAGGGCCTCTGAGGCCACAGCCTCCTCCCGGGTGGCCACGTCACTAGCGGGGAAGTGCCGGGGAAGCGATAGGGAAATCCGTGCCGGCGGCTGGCGGCGCGCCGGGAAGTGCCGGGCAGGCGGCAGGAGGGAAGGGGAGGCTCCAGCCTCTGCAGCCCTCCAGCAGCTCCACAAGGGTTTGGTTTCGCTGTGGAGAGGACTGGATGAAGCCACCTTGGTGCTGAGACGCGTCCCCCTAGCACGGAGCCCTTCCTGCAGGGAGCAGATCTGTATTTATAGGCGCAGGACGGGCTGGGTCTGACGCGGCACAGGATGTGCTGGAGCGGCTCAGACCGGGGTTTTGTTTTATCGCTCCTTCCTCTGGGCTAATTCCATCGCTTGCACCTTTTTTTTTTTTCTCCTAATGTCCAAGAAGAAATCCTCTCGTGCTGCGTCACGTCCTCCTCTCCTCCTCCGGCAGCGTGAACCGGCACAAACCCGGCACAGCGTCCCCTCCACGGGGACGTGTCCGTCCCGTGCTGGTGGCTCCGAGCCCTGTCCCCCGGTGGCACAGAGCTGCTGCAAAACCCCTCTGTGTTCTCCTTCGGAGAGGTAGCAAAGAAATTGGGGATGGGGTCCCTGGAGGTGCTGTGAGCCCAAATTTCATTCCGGAGCGAGGGGCGGCACTGCCAGCCCTGCGCGGGGTTGCCCGATTTTATGGCTTGGTCACGGTGACAACATTGAATTTCACGGTCGGGATGGGGAAACAGGAGAAATGAAGTGAATGTTAACGCGACAGGATGGTGTTGCGTGTCCCTCCTGTGCAGGGCTGCTCATTTTTTCCTCCGTTATCACGTTCCCGAGGTACCAAACCCAAATCATCAGCCGAAGACTCTCCAAGCAGACCTGGGCTAGGTGATGCCACCACCACCCGGCTCGTCGTCTCTCCATCCAAGATCAGAATTATAACGTTGAAAGGGAACGTGCTATTTATTAACAACCATCATTTTAGGAGGGGAAGTGTCTCTTTTTAGCACGCGTTGGCTAATTTCCATCCCAAAGAGGCCAGAAAGGGACCCGCAGGGTGGCGGCACCATCGCAGCTGCACTCAGAGGGTGACAGGGGTGGGATTTTTGGCTGGACGGGCTCTGCCCAAAAACGCGATGCCTGCACGACCACGGGGATGTGTTGTGAGAGCCCGACCGATCCCCTTGGGTCCGCCCTGCGTAATGAGCCAGGCTCGTTTGCCGAGGAGGTACGGAGCTGCTGGCAGCCCGGCTCGCTTTTGCATAACTTTCTATTTATCTCCTGCCTCTTTCGATTAATTTCCTATCAGCTGCGCTGGGAATGAAGTTCTCAAACGCCCGATAAATCTTTTTTTAAGCTTAGGAGCTCATCGGCTCTGGAGGAGGGCGAGCAGTGCTAATAGGAGTGGAAAATAAAAGAGTTTATTTTAGCAAATCTCTCAAATATGATCTGAAACGGGCACACTCGCTGTGCCGCTGCAGCTTGGCAGACCCCAGCAGAGAGGTGTTTGACCAGAAACCTTTTCCACCTCTTTTTCCCCGTTGCTTTTGGAGGGGCAGGGCAGGAGCAGCAGGACACCCACGGCGAGCACCCATGGGCTTCAGGTTAGCTCTGCCCAGCGAATATCAAACCTCGAGAGACCGCGTATTTGGCTCCTCGTAATACTTCTGAATGTTTTTTATTGTTTTCTTGGGTTTGTTGGTGGGTGCAGGAGTTGAAGAGTTTCCCATAAACCTTTAAGGACTCGGAGTGCTCCCAGGAATGGAAGCAGGCTGTGTGCTGTGGGTACCGGCCGGTGGGGCTGAAAATGCTGCTCGTGGGGTCGGGTAAATCAAGAAAAACCCGCGCGTGGGGATGGGGCTGCAGCGTGATTGCGGCAGCCTCGGCTGCTGGCAAACTCAAGGAGAAGCAGCACCTCCTTGCAAAGGCACCCGGAGAGGATTTTGCTGGTGTTTCACGTGTGCCTGTGCAGCCTCTGGCAGGTTTTTGGGTGACGTCTGTGTTTGTTTGGGTTTATTTTATTTTATTTTTATACAAAAGGACACCTTGCAAAGCTCGCCTGCTTGCGATGCAGCGAGGGCGATGACCGCTGCAGGGTCGAAGGGTGTTTAATAACTTCCTGCTCTCTCAGGGCCGAAAGGCACGCGGAGCCTTTTTTTTTTATTGCTTTCCACTCGGTGTTGGAGCCCGACTGCTCAGCCCTTGGGGTGGGGAGGGCTGGGGCTGCAGCGGGAACCTGGGCTTCTGCTGCGGTGCCGAGGCATTAGCCAGGAAAAGCGTTTTTCTGGGCTAAACCCTGGCACTGCAGCACCCATTTCGCTCCCAAATCTTTCCTGGGCGCCCCGTGATGCTTTTGGGGCAGGGTTTGGAGCACATGAAGCACCAAAATGATCACAGCCCCAGCAGTTTTTAAGCACTTTGGGGAGCAGCTTCTCAAGCAGAGCTGGACTTTGCTGCCGTCCTTAAGCTCCTAAATGATGCGACGCCCATGCCAGACCTGGGCATGAATTCACCGTGGGCGCAAAGCTGGCGCTGAGCACCCTGCCCAAAATCACTCCGTTTTGGGGTCGGAGGAGCTGGTAGGGGCAGGGTGTGAAGGATTCGCTCTGCTCGGCGCATCCCATGCAGAGCAGGCTGCCAGGGCTGGGTGCTTCACCAGCCTTCGGTGTCCTCCAAAACCCTCTGCTTCGGGGCTTGCTGCTGCTGGCCGGGAAGCCCCGGCACTGCTCCCCGTGCTGGTTTTTGGCGAGGCAGAGGGGTTTTGGTGAGATGTGGGCAGGGATCTGGGGGCTCTCCCCATGGTCACCGCTTCACCGCTGGGTCCTGGCGAAGCGGAGGTGCTGGAGGGGGAACCCCGGTGGCTGTTTTACCCCAGTGGCTGCTTTTACCCCCATTTTCTCTCCCCCCAGCCATGAAAGCCGACCGCAAGCGCTTGAAAGCCGAGAAGACGGACCTGGTGAGCCAGATGCAGCAGCTCTACGCCACGCTGGAGAGCCGCGAGGAGCAGCTCCGCGACTTCATCCGCAACTACGAGCAGCACCGGAAAGTGAGGCCGGGCGCCGGCGTGAGGCCGTTGGGTTTTCTTTCATCGTATTGGGGGAAAAATGCAGCAAAATGGGGCTCGGCCCCTTGCGAGCAACTCCCCTGCTGCAGTCCAGCCCCTGCAGCAGGGGAATGGTGAAGAAGGGGAGGAGGATTTATCGCTGATCGGTGATAAACGAAGGAGGCCAGAGATTGTAATTAGCTGAGCTGGCTTGGAAGGCTCAGTTGGGTTTTTTTGGGGGGTTTTGCTTTTATTCAGTCCTTTTCTGCTGGCTGGAAACCGAAGGCAGCTCGTTTCCGAGGACATGCTTTACGTGGGGCCCATAAGGTTAGGAGCTTGTCGACCGCACAACCCATAGCACGTTGCTCGGTTATAAATAGCATTTTTCTGGATGTTTTATGGACAGAAAGCTGGGGGGTGTAGGCACAGCTTCCTGTTGTGCTCGTGGTTTGCCTGCCTGGAGCTGTCCACCAGCGCGAGCGAGCGTGGGAACCCGGCTCGGGCGGCTATTCTGGGCTTTTTTCCATGCAAAGGGAGAAATTTTTCTATTTTTGAAGGCTGGTGCCAAAGGAACAGCACTCGCAGCCAGCTTGGGGTAGGCTGGGGAGAGCCAGAGGGACGTTTTTCCCTTTCTATGAGAAATCCCGTGCAATTCCCAACGCAAAGGGGCACTGCAGGGAAAGCAAGTAGTTGCGTCGAGGTGCTGGTGGAGGTCTTCAGCTTTTGGGCACGGTGCAGGCATCCGGATTTGGGGAGCAGGCATCTGGTTTGGGGGCACGGGGTTGCCAGTGCCTGTTGGGGAGAGCTGGGGGGGTTTCTTTTGGCCGTTCCCCCCATCCTGACGGCTTCCCCGGCTCGCTGCAGGAGAGCGAGGACGCAGTGAAAGCCCTGGCGAAGGAGAAGGACCTGCTGGAGAGGGAGAAGTGGGAGCTGCGGCGGCAAGCCAAGGAGGCGACGGACCACGCCAGCGCCCTGCGCTCCCAGCTCGACCTGAAAGACAACCGCATGAAGGAGCTGGAGGCCGAGCTGGCCATGGTGAGCTCAGCCCTGCACCCACATCACCCACCCGTGCCCTGGCGTGGCCGTGAGCTCGAGCTGCAGAAGCATCCGAGGGTCGGCCCCATGCACTGCTGCGGGCTCTCGGCTCAGCAGATTGAGAGCTTGGAGACCCCGGGGAGCTTTGATTTGCTGCAGTATTTTCATTTTTGAATTTCCTGCAGTATTTTCATTTGCTGCAGTGTTGCAGGGGGGTGTGTTACAGACCACCGTGAGTATTGGGGATAAATGTTGTACCCAGCGCTGTGCCAATTGCACGTAGCATTGACTGCAGTCACTGCATTGTGGCAACGCTAGCAGAAAAAATCAAAAACATGGATGGAAAAGAGCTGGGAAAAGAGCTGGGGGTGTCCTTGCTGCAGGGATTTGCCCGTTCACCTGCAAAGGGCAGGGTGGGTGTTGCGCCGCGCGTTGCTGCCGCTCCTGCAGCTCCAGGAGACGTCCCTATTTTTCTCCCCCCCCTCCCTGCCGTGTCCTCCCCAGGCCAAGCAGTCCCTGGCCACGCTGACCAAGGACGTCCCCAAGCGCCACTCCTTGGCCATGCCGGGCGAGACGGTGCTGAACGGCAACCAGGAGTGGGTGCTGCAGGCAGACCTGCCGCTGACGGCCGCCATCCGGCAGAGCCAGCAGACCCTGTACCACTCCCACCCCCAGCACTCGGCCGACCGGCAAGGTGAGACCCCGAGACCTGGGCACTCAAATTCGGAGGGGTTTTGGGGTGAAATCTGCAGCGGGAGCAGCCTGGTGAGCCCTGCATGGCTGTGGCTGCCTTGGTTAGGGTGGAAATCTGCTCGCCAGATGAGTATCGGCAGTCGCATCCAGGGTTTGGCACAGTGGGCATGGTTGGCATTTGGGTTTTGCAGAGGTTTGAGTTTCCTACAGGCTTAGGTTCCCACGGGTTTGGGTTTTTACAGGTTTGGGTTTTGCACAGCAAGCTGGGGTTTTGCAGGGGGGATGCTGAGGTTTTGAATGGGACCTGAGCTTTCACACGGGTGGTGCTGGGGTTTTGCACGAGGGGGCAGCTTTCACGTGAGCTCTGGGCTTTTGCCCGGGGAGCTGGAGGTCGCACAGAGGCAGCTCCGTGCCTGAGCTCTGCCTCCCTCCCGGGGGGGTGCTGCTGACCCCCTGCTGCCTCCCCTGCCCCGCAGCGGTCCGGGTGAGCCCCTGCCACTCCCGGCAGCCGTCCATCATCTCTGACGCCTCGGCGGCAGAAGGCGACCGCTCGTCCACGCCGAGCGACATCAACTCGCCCCGGCATCGGACGCACTCGCTCTGCAACGTAAGTCCGGGGGGGCAGCAGGTGGGGGGTGTCCCTGCGGGGTCCCCCTGCTGCGTTCGTGCTGTTTCAATGCCCTCCGTCCCCTTCTGCTGCAGGGGGACAGCCCCGGACCGGTACAGAAGAACTTGCACAACCCCATTGTACAGGTAGGGCACCGAAAACCCCTGTGCCAAAAACCCCCGGAGCCCTGCACTGGGGGGTGGTTGGGGTGGGGGTGCTTGGAGGCAGCGATTTCACACCGCGTGCTTTGGGGTTTAAAAAATAAAAATAATTAAAAAAAAACTGTTGGGAATGTTAAGTCTGGGCTGTCCCAGACTGCAGTGATCTGTCCCCAAACCCAGCTGAGGGGCCGGCTGTGCTCTGAGCCCACCACAGCCTCCGTTTCGGTAAGGCACAGCCTAGGTCGCATTATGTTACATGTTTTACCCCAAAAAGCTGGGATATTCACACAAGAGCTGTAAGCAGAGCTTTGCTCTGGCCGTCCCTGTGTAGCAAGGATTGCTTTAGGAACCCGATTCCTCGGGGTGGGGAGCAACATTGCCCCATGACTTCAGATGCAGCATTTCAGGAGCTCTTCTTGGGGTCTGCACCTCGTTATTCCTTGGGACCAGCACCTTTTTGGGGACCTGGACTACTCAGCCCGGGCAGGGAGGGGTGCTGGCACCTCCAGAGCTTGCTTTAAGCCCCAAGAGGGCTTAAAAGAGAAACCCAATTTGCCACGGGCAGGGGGATCAGCGCCAAACTCAGAACCAAACCCCAAAAAGATCCCAGCTCAGCGCTGCCTTCCCTCAGCTCACCGCTCATTTTCCCTACACCCTGTTCCCTTTGCAGTCTCTGGAAGACCTGGAGGACCAAAAACGGAAAAAGAAGAAGGAGAAAATGGGCTTCGGCTCCATCTCGCGGGTGTTCGCCCGGGGCAAGCAGCGCAAGTCCCTCGACCCCGGGCTCTTCGACGGCACGGCCCCCGACTACTACATCGAGGAGGATGCGGACTGGTGACCCCGAGCACCGCTGTGCATCCCCCCCAACCCTGCGTGTGCATCCCCCTGCTGTTGTGTTGTAATTTCGTTCCCCCTTTTATTCCATATTTTTTTTTGGGGGTTGTTATTTTATTTTTGCATTCCAGTAACTCTTCCTTCTTCGTCCGTCGCTTCGTTTTTTTGTCGTTTTGGGATTTTTTTTTTTTTTTTTTCGTTTTCTCCCCTCCTTCTTTTGATGAAACTTGAAACTTGAAGGACTGCTGCGTGTCTGTAAATAACGGGAATCTCGTGCACTTTGTGCTTGTGACGTCTCTTGTCCGAAACCGCTGTTTTCCGGAGCCTCTGGAACCCGCCTTGGAGAGGGGGACCCCGCCGTCTTAAGAGACCTTAAAAAAGAAAGGAAGAAAAAGAAAAAAAAGCCACCAAAATCACGTTCGCCGTGACTGTCCCCCTGGCCAAAATCCGAGGAGGCAGCACCCGGGCTCGTCGTAACGCCTGCCGGTCTGGAATAAGTGTTTTCCCTTTCCTTGTGTTGTTTTAATTTATTTGCACAAACCCAGAGAGGAGCTATTCTAACTAAATTATTGCAGAAATTTTGGGGGGGGTTTTATATTTTTCCATGTTGGTGGGGGGGGGCTGGGGGAGGAGGAAGGGGCTCTTTGTACTGTACTGTCCTGGGGCGCTGCCCGCGGGCGGGAGGATGTGGATGGGGACCGGGGACCGGCGCGGTCGGACGGCCGCGAGCATCCTCGTCCCGGCTGCGAGAGCACTTAACGCCTTGGAAAAAAAAAAAAGGACAAAAAAAAAAAATACACACAAAAAAACGCAACCTCAACGTTTTCTGGGAAATCAGGCTTCTCCCTGCTTTGTTTTTCCCGGATTTGGGGTGCTCGCCCTTCGCTGGAATTAAAACTGGGGGGAAGCGCTGCGAGCTCGGAGCCGGGGGCAGGCGGCGTGGGGCAGCACCGGGTTTTGGGGCATTATTGTCGCCGGGGCGCTGGGTACGGCCACGGAGCTCACGCTCCGAAATCCGCTTAAAACGCCCCAAAATCACCCCGCCAGCAGCCGCTTCCCCCCCACACACACCACTAACACGCGCCGCGCTCTGCTTACGGCAAGTACCTTACGCTTTAACGCTTACGATATAATTTGAAGCTCTTAAAAAATGTATGAAGATTATTTAATAACGCTGCGCTCGTGGATTGTTTTTCTTAATTTCGGTAGCGCCCGCCCTGTGTCGAAGGGGATATTTTGGCTTACAGCCCAGGAGCCGACCTGCGGCCGCCCTCGTGCTCCGCGCTCCCTCTATCGTGATGATGCTGGGGGGGCCGCGGCGGTGCTGGGGGTGGGCCCGGTGGCCTCTGTCCCTGCAGAAAAAGATTTTTTATACATTTGTCCTTTTTTTTGTTGTTGTTTTGTTTTGGTTTTGTTCTTTTTTTCTCTTCCCTCTCTTTGCATTTTTCTAATTTAAACTCTCACCCAACAAACCAGACGAGCAATCTCCTTGTTATCAAGTAGTTTCCTTTGCATTTCAGCTTTTTTTTTTTTGTAAATTAGGAAATAATTCTTAAAAAAAAATAAAAAAAAATGACTAAGAGGATGATTTATTTAAAAGAGAACTTCGAGAAATAGCATATGGATTATGGGTAACATTAGATTTAACTTTTTTCCCCCCGTGAGTGGGGAAGAATCCTTGAAGGCATGGATGCAAATATAAAAAAAAATAATAAAAAAAATATAAAAAATCTAAATAAAGCTTATTTTAAAGTACGGAGGAGCTCCCTGTGGTGTAATTCCTCGCCGACCTGCCTGTGCCAGGCAGAGGCTGGGGGCTGATGTGGTGGAGGGAGGGCCCTGGGGCGATGGGGGGGCTGCGGACGGGTGATGGGACCCGTAAGGTGGTTCTCCAGCTCTGTTAACTAACACGGTAATGGGGTGTTAATTGGGAATAAACCCATATTGAGGTATACCTATGAGCAGATAAGCTTTGGGGTGGGGGTGTCCGGCACCCCAGCCATGAGGCCGTCCCCATCCCGCTTTGGATTTGGCCTCGATGCCAAACAGGAGGAAAACGGGTTCTCTTCTGGTTGTTTTCTGCCCCAAATCTGGAGGGATTTGGGGTCAGGTTGTGCAAGTGAAGGGTGAAGTTGGGACCTGGTATTGCCCCGTATTTTGCCAGCGTTGGGTGCCTGCGGGCTTTTGGGGCTGGAGGATGGAAAGCATCGGAATGGCAGGAGAGCTGCTGGGCCATAATAAAAGCTTTTTGGGGCTCGGTCCCTGGCTTTGGTGGCTTGTGCCAGCCCCCAGCCACAGCCTGAGTGCTTCAAGCAATTGAAAGAAGGAAAAAAAAAAAAAAAAAAAAAAAAAAGCAAAAAGGCATTTGCTGCCAGCTGGCTCTCCAGCTCTGTTAACTAACACGGTAATGGGGTGTTAATTGGGAATAAAACCCATTACTGAGGTGTACCTATAAGCAGATAAGCCCAGCACAGACCAGGGCTGAGGCTGCCACACGCGGAGCTCTTTCCCTCAAATATTTGTTGATGTCCTTAACCTGCAGCGGGGCCAAAGCCAAGCCACGGCCCTAAAAACCTGCGGTGTCAGCGGCAGCCCCTGTCCTTGTTGCTCCCAGGATTTTGGGGGTCTGGGGATTTTGGGGTGCTTGTCAGAGCAGGAAACCGACTTGGAAAAGGTGACCTGAAGGGTTAAGGCTGCAACAGAAAAACCCAAAGCTGCGTTTTGCCTGCTTTGGGGAGGGCACTGGGGGCTGCAGGAGGCTTCCTTCCCCTGCTGCATGTTGCTGCGTCCTCGCTGCGTTCCTGCTGCGATGCTGCCATCGTGTGAGCAGCCCCGAGCTGCAGCCCAGCACCCTGCTGCCACGTCCCTGCGTCGTGGGAGCCGTGCTCCAAATCCCCACCGAAATCTGGCCGTGGCTGCCCTGCACCCAGGAGCTTGAAAATCAGAAATCCCCTGAGGACGCGGGACATCGCCAGGCCCCGCTGCTTTATGGGGTGTGTGAGCCGGCGGTGCTGGCGCCGTTTCTGTGTTTGCCCAGCTCTGTGCAGAGCCCTCGATAAGCAGCAGGTCAGAGAGCTGCCAGCCAGGACGTGGAGGTGAGAGCTGGGCGGGTTTCCTGCAACTCCTTGCGGCTCCGCAGCTCCCTGTGCCTCGTGCTGTGGGCAGCAAGGAGCAGAGGCAGTTTTGGGGATGGTCGCGATCTGTGGGTGATGGGGACACTGCTGGTGGCACCTCCCCGGGTGCTGCCTCTGAGGCTGCTGGGCTTTGTTTGGGGTCTCTGATGCAGGAAAAAAAAATCCAAATTTGTAAACTTCTGCCCTGCTTTTAGCACCGCTTCTCTCCCAGCCTCGCTGTGCTCTGGGTGTCCTCTCTCCGAGGCTCTCCTAAAGCACCTCCCTTCCCCATCCAGGACTCACAAGCCTGGAGAAAAATAAAGTTATTCGGCCTCCTGCAGTGCGTGGCAGCAGCAGCTTCTCCCTGCGGAGAGGGACCAGGACCAGCAGCAGGTTGGTGCCTTTATTTTCTTTTCCACCTTCCAGGCTTGTGCGTGCTTGAAGCAGAAGGGGACCTCACGCAGCGGATGGACCCGTTGGACCTGCAGCGTCCTCAGGGATCCAGCAGCAGCCCCGGGGATCCCCTGGGCACCAAAGTGCTCTGGGCAGAAGGAGCAGAGCCGGTTCCTCTGCTCCCCAGGAGGATGCAATCTCCAGATGCCCAGGTTCGGCACCTGCGCTCTCCCAGCACTCCTGCAGCAGCAGGCGGGTGTGGAAATGTCTCGTTTTCCCAGCTCAGGGCTGCTGCTTTGCTTCTTTTCAAGCACGCAGAGCAGGCGCCCAGCCTGCAGCCTCGGCTCTCCCCACCCTGTCCTGTCCCTGCACTCCCTGGCCCTTCAGCTGCTCCAAATTCGGAGGATTTTACACATTTTGGTGACTGCAAACCCAGGCTTTCAGCAAGCCCTGCTCCGTGCACAGCTGCCAGCAGCAGCAGCGTTGTAGAAACAAAGCGTGGCTCTTGCAGGTGCTCCTGACATCGGGGCACAGGAGGCAAGGCACAGAGAAGGGAAACACCAGTATGGACCAGTGCTTGGTGCTGGGAGCTCTGCAGGGCACGTGCCAGGCTTCCCCTGCCCAGCTGGAAGCAGCCGGCGGCCCTCTCTTCCTCAAGGGGGGTGATGCTGGGGCACTGGCCCCGTTAATGGAAGGGGCTGCCAGGGGATTTTTGGGACTGCAGGGCTGGGGGGAGGAACGTGAGCGTTGCCCCCAGCCCCAGGAGCTGCCCTCGGGGTAAATGGGATCGAGGTTGGCTCGGAGCAGAGCCCCCCAGCTGGGGGCATGGCAGGGGCCACCACGGGTGGCTCTGGTGGATCTCCATGGCTGGATCTCACCGGGAAGGTTTCCTGCAGCCCGGGAGCCACCAGGCTCTGGCCTGGGCTTCGCAGGGGTGCGAAGCATCCTCCCCTAAAGCAGAAAGAGGCAGGGGAACCCGGTGCTGGTATTTCAGAGGATGGGAACCACCTTTAGAGGAGCCTGCGCTTTAAATCCCCCCATAACGACGCCCTTGTCCTTCTGCCACGAAAAAAAAAAGTCCCTTTCTGGCCCCTGTTCAGCTTTGCAGAGAGGCCGAGCAGGAGCACAAGGAGCCCATTTAGGACTCGGCCATCTCCGGTTGCGCTCCCCGGGGACCTGCTGCAGGAGGGCAGGCTTTAACCCCGCAGCCAGCAGCGCTCAGGGGCTGATGTGGCGATGGAGCAGCGCTCGGTGACCCCGTGCCGTGGAGGCTCCGCTCCCCGCGCAGGATCAGCAGCAGCAGAGCCAGCGGGTAAAGTTCATTTTTGTTCCACTTTCTTGTAGTTCTCCTGCGGAGGAGACACCTCCCTGCTCGAGCGGCCGGAGGTGCTTGGAGGCAGCAGGTTGGGGATGCTTGGAGAGGTGGGAATTTGCCTCGCTGGGTGGCCGAGCCCTAAAATGCAAAACGAGCAGGACAAGGGGGGAAAAAATACACCTGCCCGTGTCGCTGCGTGTCGTTGCAGCACGGGTCGGTGGCTCTGATTAAGGCGAGACGCTATCAGGCTCGGGGAAGGGCAGCGCTGGCGTGTGCCCGGAGGAGGAGCAGGGTGGGTGAGTCAGTGGAAAATCCCCTGCACGTGGCTGGCGAGGGGGGGACGGGGAAATGGGGACGGGGAGAGGGGGTTTCCGTGGCTCCCCTGGACCACTGCAGCGGGGCTGGTGCGCAAGTGGTGGTGAATTGTGGCAGCTCGTGCGTTTGTGAGGACTTCGTGGCTCAGGGATGGGGAAAGCCACGGTGGGTGGGCACGCGGAGCTGCTCTGCCACCCATAGGGGGGAAAAAAACACCCTGAGGGGTGTCCCAAATGGAAACGGGGCACTTGGCGGTGTGTTGGGGGCGAGATGGGTCTCGGTCATGCAAGTCCCAGGTGCCACGAGGATGGCAGCGGGGTTGGGGCACGGAGGGTAGATGAACCCCAGCTGAGCCCGTGCCTGGTCCTGGGGGTCTCTGGTGTGGGCCAGGAGGGTGAAACCCCCCTGGGGAAGTGTCCCCAAAGCAGGGGGAGGGGGCACAGGGACAGCGGGCTTGGGGGTGACCCAGTGGGGGCTGTGGGCATCTCGTCACCCCATGCAGATTGGGGTGGCCATCCTAAGGGAAGGGAAGGGGAAAGGCTGGCTCTTTGAGAGGGGTGTGAGGGGGAGTGAGGGGATGGGGCAAGGCCAACTGGGCCAGAGATTTTGGGGCTGTGTCCTGCAGGGCAAAACGTGGTGGTGGAACCGCGTCTCGTGAGCCCTTTGCTGGAGGACGTCAGTCCTGGGACCTGAGCACTGGCCAGCGGGGTTTCTGTTGTTTGTATCACCGCAACTCCTCCAAAAAAAAATTGTCTCGGGCTTTTAAAAAGCCCCAGCAGCCCTGCGGCCATCTCCCATGTGCGGGTTGTGCCGAATCCTTGGGTGGGAAGGGGAAGGTCGTGTCCGGACCCCCACGGGCGCCGACGCTGGGTGTTCCTCGGGGGCTGGCAGCTTTCCTGGTGTGCTTTTGTCCTCCCGGCCTGGCTTGGCGTGTTTCTGTGTGTCACGTACAGTCACAGTGCGTGCCTGCCCCTATTGACTTAAATCCCAGCCGTCCCAGGCCCCGCGTTACACCCAGCGTCGCAGGCAGAGCCGCAGGTCAGGCGTGAGGGCGATGGGCACCGAGCGGTGCCCAAATTTCGGAGCCAATTCTGAGCGATTTTCTGGCAAGACGGGGAATGCCTGGGGGGCTGGAGGTGCAGAGGGGGGGATGCTGAAGTTTGGGTGTCCTGGCAGAAAGGGAAACCCCCCCGTGGAGGCGAGGAGTGAGTGGGTGTGGGGCCGGCGAGCCCAGCCCTTGGCCGCCGCAACCACTGGGAAGTGGCTGCGATGCCTTTGATTTGAACTGTGCGTAATTACACGGGGGTGGAAAGCTGGAGGAAGGGAAGTGCCCGGGGAGGGAGGGCTGGGCGGCCAGCCGTGCCTCCTCCGGGACAGCCGACGGCAGGGGATGCTCGGAGGAGCTCGGCTCCACGGCACGGGGCTCTCCCAGCCGAGGAGGAGCTCGGCTCCGTGGGGAGCTCGGGGAGGCGAGGGCTGGATGGGGCCCTTGCCCTGCGCCGGCTGGAAACCTCCTCCAGCAGCCCAGGTAGGTTCCTGCCTCCCCAACAGCACCCCAAGCGCTTCTTGAGCTCGTTTTTAGGAGGAATCGATCGACTTCTGGGGCTCAGCCAAAGTGGTTGAAAACCCTGGGTGAATTTTGCGGCCGGTGCGCAGCAGCGCAACCCCTGGCAAACTTTCACCCGTCTCAAAACCCCGTCCCCTGCTCGCCGAGCACCGGTGCTTTGTGCTGTGCTGTGTCTTTCTCTCGGCCCCCAAAATCGCCATGTCCGTCCTTCCCAGTCATCTCCTGTGGGCTCCCCGCGTGCCTCTTTTGTTTCTTTTGCTCGCTTCCTTCTTCCTGCGGCCCCTTCCTCGCTGCTGCCTCAGCAGCCGCCGGTTCCCGTCCCGCAGCCCCCAGCTCCCCGGTGGTGCCCCCGCTTCGTGCTGCTGTCCCAGGAGGGGTCTGGGCACCCCCTTCCCGGCTTGTCCCTTCTCCAAGGCAGGCGCTGCCACCCTTCCTCCTCCCGGCTCTGCCTGCAAAATCAGTTTTGGCTGCTTCCCCAAGCAGCGCTGGGTTTGGCAGCGCTCCCGGAGCGAGCCCGGGGAGGGCAGCTCCCAGCACAGCGTGCGGCTCCGGAGCTGCCCCTCGGCAGGGATGCGAGGTGTGGGGAGAGAAATAACGCAAGAAAAGGCGATTCTGGGGTGGGAGCGGGGTGCAGTGGGGGCTGGCTGTTCCCATAAATCACAGCAGGGATTATTTGTGGGCTCACCCCTCGGAGAAGGCTGCTTTCAAAGTTTCGTGGTGCTGTTGGGGCCCAGGGTGATGAGGGATGTTGGTGATGTTATAGGGGCACCAGCGATGCCGAGGGATGGTGCAGAATCCCTGGCAGGGACTCGCAGCCCCGATGTGCTGCCAGCACAGCAGAGGGGCAGGGAACAGCAGAGGTGGCTCCTGCTGGCCACGGCGGTGGCGTTGGAGGAGGTGGAGTTGGTTTGGGCTGGGTAGGATATCACAAGGGCAGGTGGGTCGTGCCTGAAAGCTCTGCCAGGCTCAAGAGGGGAGGTTATTGAGATGGGGCAGGTCAGCGGGATCCACAGGAAGGCTTTTAATTCTGTTCTCAGTGGCAAGAAATGTCAGGACGGGGAAATTTCCAAAAAAAAAAAAAAAAGTGCAAAATACGATCGGAAATAAACCAGGGAAAAGAGCAAGTGGAAGCACGGGGAGCTTCCCAGGCTGGTCCCAAGCCTTTCTGCAGCAAGCACAGGTGGATTTAACCGAGCCAGGGAGCCCAGCACCAAAACCCCAAGGATTTACTGCCGAAGGCCAAGCCTTGAAATAATTATCCCAGCCTCCACGTATGGGAAGTGTCTGGAACTTGACTTGCTCTGCAAGCAGCCTGATGGTAATTTGGAGTCGGATTGTGGCTGCTTTTCCTCCAGCTCCTCTCTCCAGCAGCGTTCAGCTCCTCACCCACTTTGCCCTGGTCTAGTGGTGCTGGGGCTCGGAGCTCTCCTCGGGGGGAGCGCAGTGTGCCAGGTGGGTGCAGAAGGGTGCATTAAGGAAAGGAGTGGATGTGAAACGACTCCTGAAGTGCCTGGAAGAAATGCAAAGAGCAATGAGCCAGCGCACAACGCAGGGAGCACCAGCAGCAAAATGGGGACATGCCCGAGTAGCCTGCACGCCGCTGTCCCTCCGTGCTCTGACGTTTCCTGGGCGAGATGCTATCAAACCGGCTGGAGCTTCGCCAAAACCAACAGGAGGTGGCCAAATCAGCGGCTCCTCCCTGCTCAGCTGGGTGACCTTAGCTTATTTCTCTCCCTGCTAACCCAGCTGGGACAGGGGATCTGGCCAGAAATATTCCCGATGGTGGGCCAGGGATAATTTGGGTGGTGATGATTAAGGCCAAAACCGCCCCGCTGTGCGAGGAGGTGTTCTTCTGGGGGTGTTGGTGTTGCGCAGCACGGGCTGGGCATGGCAGGTGGGTGGTTTTGTGGCTTCTCGAGGAGTTTGGTGTTGTTTGGAGCTTGAATCCTCCCGTACGCAGGGCTGTGCACGAGGGTGCTGCTGCTGCAGGCGGGTTTTGTGGAAGCCAAGCTTGTGGGTCTCAAATTAGTGACCGAGCTCGTGGATCTCAAATTAATAGGAGCAGTCGTTAATGAGAAGGTGCCTGCGTGCAGACACACAGATGAAGGGAGGCTGGAGGAGCCGCCAGCCTGCCTGTTCCCTGGGGCTATGGGCAAAGCAAGGAGGAGCTCAAGGAGCTACCCCCCAGCTCCCAGAGTCTCAGGGCTCACCGACACAAGGCTGGGGCAAAGTCCTTGGGATTTCCAGCTCTGCCTTGGCTGTTGGAAGGACCTGGGTGGCATCGCTTGGAAAGAAAGCTGGCAGAGGAGGGTGCGGACCCACCAGCCCCAGGACCAGCATGGGAAAAGGGAGATCTGCACTGAGCAGGTGGAAGCTGACCTACAGTGGGCTCGGTGCCCTAAGGGGTTCTCCATAATGGATTTATTTCTCCAAATCTGACTTGAGCCTCAGTGTTTCAGCATTGCAGTCGAGACGTGGAGACACCGGGGTGCTGGGGCTCTGCCAGCAGGGTGGGAGCTCCTCTTTGGCAGAGGCTGAAGGTGACGCCGTGTCCCCAGCACCTCTGCCGTGCCTGGTGGTGGAGCAGCCCCACAGGTTTCATGCCAGGCTCTAAATAACCTCATTTTCATCTGAGGTGAAAATCGTCTTGTGTGTCACGAGCTGGGCTGTCCCCCAAAGGAGCTGTGCTCTGCCTCCTGTGCCGACCTCACCCGGGAGGTGTGGAGCAGAAGAGCCCCGGAGCTCAGGCTGCTCGAGCTCGCTACGTGACAGCGCGGGGGGTTTGACCTGTTCCCCGAGCTGCCAGCTCATCGCTCGTGATCTGACGACAGAGGTGTTGCTCCTGGAGCCTGGTTTAGGAAAGCATTGTCACGGGAGGCGAGGAACGCAAAGGTCTCGCCGGGCTGGGAGGAGCGTGGGTGTCCCTGCCTCCTCGTGATCCTCCTTGCTGGGTTGGTGTTTCACCGGGAGCGCAGGGGCACGGACGTGGCACGGAGACAGATCAGGTGCCTCCTGGCTCGATCTTTGCTGTAAAGAAGCGCCGATGAGTTTGGTTTTTCTTTTTGCTGAAGGTTTGTTAAGGGAAGTCAGAGCAGGGAGGCCGGGTGGCAGCTGCGCCGTGCCGGTTTAATGATTCGGAGATCCTGGTGTAAATCATTGACAGCGGCGAGCACAAAGAGCGCAGGTGTGCGCGGGATGGGGACAAAGGTAGCTGGGGCGGCAGGGAAGCCCCTGTGCCAGCAGGGAGGTGGCAGGGGGACACAGGCAGGGGACAGCTGGAAGTCTCCCCTGGAGGGGCACGGTGGGCAGCACGGGGTGCGTCACCTCGGTGCCAGCAGGCTGGGCGAGCGAGGAGGGAACAGAGCTGCATGGAGAGCCCTAAGGACGGTGAGTAAGGACGGGTTACACACGGCTTGGCACAGGGCTGGAGTGGAGGCAGCAGGAAAGGCAGGGATAGCGTCCTGCTCTGCCTCGTCTTCCTCTGGATGTCCTTGGAGAGACGGTGCCGGCCACAGACAGGCTTGTGGTCGGTTTGCTGCTTCCCTGGAGCCTCCAGGTGCTGTACCTGTCTCCGTGCCCTCTGCTTTCCTTCCCATTGAGGCCTCCTCTGCTCTTCCAGAGGCTGCAGCAGCCTTCTCCAGCCATCAGCATCACCAGGGTTATGGCCACGCGAGCGATGGCAGTGCTCCCTGCTAAGCCGAAAGGAGGGATAATTCGATGGAGAGAGCAGCTTAGGCACAAAGCCTTGCGGTTTAATCTGATTTGCCCTCTCTGCAGGCGAGGGATCTGCGCACAACTTCTCAGCTCCGTGATGATGGAGAGGCTTGGAGAGGGGTGAGGTGCTAGAGGGAGGCCAGCTGTGCTGGGCGCGTGCGTGAAGTGTCAGAGGCGGAAAAAGTGGCTGCTTCTGAAACCTTTTACCCCTCCAAATAAAAGCCACCAGCGAGTGGGCTGCTTCTTTCCTTCTCTGCCGCTCACGACAAGGAAACAGCCGAGATCTGTGCTGAGGAGTGGTGCTGCGTGTTGGCAGGGTGCTGGTAGTGGCACGGGCAGATGCTGGCAGAGCAGCACGTCGGCTGTGCCGGCCTGTGTGCGGTGTGAGCTCTGTCCTAAAGCCCCAGGAGCAGTTTGTGAGTGAGATCTCAGCCGGACGATGGCTGGCTGCAAAATGCCAGCTAGCATGGAGCTGGGAGCTTTTTTGTATACATGTGTGTGTATCTAATGCTATATTAAGAACCAAAGCATCCAGCTAAGAAGGGAAGACCAAAATCAGAAGCAGGGTGCTGATAAAGATCAGAGGGGATGGTAGAGGCAGTGCAGCTGATGCAGCGTGTGTTTGCGTGGCTTTTCCTGAAGAAAATGCTCCGGTCTGTTGGCGTGGCTTTGGAAGCAGCGAGCAGTAAGGAAACGGCAGCTCCATGGTGCTGGCAACGATCGGGATCCTCTGCCCTTCCTCGCTGCCATGGGGTGGGAGAGCAGTCCCAGGACTGCCAGTCCTGCCCAGAGCTGCGTCTGGGTGGCGTGCTGGAAAAAACTCCTGGAAGAGGCTTTGCTGGGCTGATGGCAGCCGTCCCACTTTTGCCTCCAGTGACGGAGGGAGCTGAGAAATGTGCTGAATGAGTCCCTGGCAGCACTGGGGAGGAAGGGTTGGAGGATCAGAGGAAGGAGCTTTCCGACCTGACGAGCCTTGGAGGGCTGCAGCAAACCCTGGGGACGTGGAGGATGAAGGAGGAGCCTCGTGGATGAAGGGGGTGAGCAGCACCCCACAGCGCCTCGGGGCACTGGCATGGCTGGAAACGGGGCCGGATGCAGCGGAGGGTGCGTGAAGGTTTAGGAAGTCTGATGCAATTCGGCTGTTGCAAGATTTTTCCAAGCCCGTGGAGGTCAGTGGGTTCGCAGCGCGCCCGCAGCGTGGGTGCTGCCCGTGGTGGCACGGAGAGGTGCGGGGCTGCCGTCCCGGCACAGGCAGCACGCTGGCAGCAGGCCCACCAGGAGGGTGAAATTGGGCTTGTGGGTGGCTTGGGGACACCCGAGGGACCCTGTGGCAGCAGGTGCTGGCCCCTCTCTGCCAGCACCAGTGAGGTTTGTCCATCCTCAGCTCCTGAAGGTGAAAGCTTCATCCCACGTGGCTCTGGATACCTGCTGTGGGGTTTAGAGGTCACGTTTGTGCTCTCAGTTCATAACCACGGGGAAATGTTTGCGGGCTTGTCTTCAGACAAGCTGGATTTCCAGCTAGGGCTGTCGGGAAGGACCGGGATGTGGGAAGGAAGGGAGCTTGGGGTGGGCAAAGCCATCGTGTGAGCCGACTGCTCCTTCATGGGGAGCTGAAGGTCGGGCCCACCACGGCGTGCTGGCTTCCCCTGGGAGAGCCCCTGGGCTGAAAAAAGCCCCGAGGAAGGGCAGGCAGAGCGGGGTGCCCGCGGGAAGGCAGGCACCGAGCCACAGCTCTGAGACTGCTCCTGGGAACGGCTGTGGCTGGTGGGGAGAAAAAAAAAAAAAGCAGCTCTGTTAGCATCGACTTCCTTGTTTTAATTGCTCTCATGACTCAGGATTTTGTAGAGGATGTTTGCAGCGCTACTTTTTTAGGACGGGAATGATGCTCGGGGGGAGGCTGGGGGCACACGGGGCACGGACGCCGACAGCCCCGGTGTGGGGCTGCAGTCAGCTGTGGGATCTCTTTGGGAGCCTCCAAAGTATTCGACATAAGTGGGGCGAGGTGGGAAAGTTTGCTTGGTGCCCTCCTTGTTTCCGTGTCTGCCTTTTCCTGCAAGTGGCTGGAGCCGGGCTGTTTTCTGGGAACGCTGCTCGACTCTGCCCCGTGACCCAGCGACCGAGGCGTGCTCTCGGGCTGAACAAGCCGGGACCATTGACCCGGAGTGCTGAGACGAGGAGCGAGGCCGTGCATGGGAAAAGCGAGCAGCAGCATCCTGCCCGAGGGACGGCTCCTAGCACAAGCAAGCTTTGCAAAGCCGAGGCTGGGGAGGAAAGGAAAACCAGCAGGCGTGTTTGCGCTGCTGCATGCATTTTTTGGCACAAATGGGATGTTGTTCTACACCAGCTGTGAGATCGGTGTGGAAATGGGGGCGCTTTGCTGCACGCATGCAGTTTCCAGTAACAGGTTTGTGCTCCTTGCTGCCATCCCTGCGTGCTGAGGTCCAGCAGGCAGGCTGCCAGGAGATGCAGTCGTGCGTGTTTATTTTCGGAAAGCAGGCGCATCCAGCGTTTGCAGCTGAGAAAATGCAGCAATTCAATCCAGGCCGGGTAGCAGGAGTTTGGTGGGCTGGGTCACAACTGCAGCCTGGTGATACACCCAGGGGACTCTTCCAGGGCGGGTTAAAGCTGTCCAGAAGGGAGCAGTGGCTTTGCCGTGGGCTTTTCTGAGGCTGTGCTTTCGGCTCAGCCCATGCAGGCAGCAGCCAGGAAAAGCTGCACGGTCGGCTTGGCTGGGAGAGCTCTGCTTTTGCTTTCTCTTCCTTGTGCAGGGAGGGTTCGGAGGGCAGGCAGCCAGCTCCACAATCAGCTGCTCTCGATCTTTCACAAGGGAAAAAAAAGGAGAAGTAATAGAGCCTGGGATTTTTTTTATTTTTTTCCAAGTGGTTTCAGGCGGCAGTAGGTTGGGTAGGGCTCTGTCCATGCGGCGAGGAGCAACGCTCTGAGCCACGATGGGTTTTTTTGGTGGAGCAGCTGCCGTGAAGAGGTCAGTTGTTGCCCTCAGAAAGATGTTGAATCCAAGTTCCTAGCAAATGTTAACAATTCCTCTCTTTCCTCAGGTGGGTGTGTAATCTGGCTAAGAAGGTAGCAAAGGGTCAGGCTGCGGCTGAAGGTACCTGCTGGGTAGGCTCCCCTGTTCTGCAGGAAGTTAGAGATTTAGGAACATGTTGCATCTTGTGGCTTCCTTCGTGCTGCTGGGGTTTGGTAGGGCTGGAGAGGAACCCTCGGGGTGGGAACGTGATGCAGGCGGTGAGGCCGCTCAGCGGAGGACTCGCACCTGGGCGAAACATCACGGGGCCGGTGGCAGCGGAGGTGGGAAGAAAGCTGGGTGGGAAGAAGCAGAGCCAGTGGCGCTGGCTGATTTTTAGGACAGTGCACCCAAGCCGTGGCGTGGAGGGAAACAGCCCACGTTTGGGGTGGATGCTGCTCTGCAGATCCCCTTGGAATGGGCAGCAAGGCCCCCGCTGCCAACGGCTGCGCCGTGCGCTCTGGGCAAGGCGCGGTGTAATTAGATTTCCAGCATCAGCAGTCCAAAAACGACGTTATCTTGCCTGCTAGCTGCGTCGTGTCCCACGGCAAGCTGAGTAACCGCGGCTTTCCTTCTCTCCCCAGGTCTCACTGCCCGCTCCGGGAGGGCACCGCACGCATGGTAGCCGGCCTGGCCACCCGCTGCCACCACGGGTGCTGTGAGGTGGCCGCCGCGGGCAGCGGGGCGCGATGGCCCAGTCCCGTGCCAACGGGTCGCACTACGCACTGACGGCGATAGGGCTGGGGATGCTCGTCCTGGGCATCATTATGGCCGTGTGGAACCTCGTCCCCGGCTTTGGTCCCGTCGAAAAACCCGCTGGCCACTCTGGTAACAGCAGCAAGCCCGACCGTGGCAGCGGGGGCATTTTGAAGAGCAAGACGTTTTCCGTGGCGTACGTGCTGGTCGGGGCGGGGTTGCTGCTGCTGCTGCTCTCCATCTGCTTGAACATCCGCGACAAGAAGAGGCAGAGCGAAGAAATAACCAGGGTGCAGCACCAGGCATCGGCAGAGCCCTCGCAGCAGGAGGACAGGTGAGCTTTGTGGGGGGGAAAGGGAGTGGGGTGGAGGGTAGAAATGACCCCACGGGCTTTATTTTCCTCTTGCAGGAGGTCGTGAGCAAACAAACAGCAGTGTGTGCTCAGATAAAGGTGAGCACGGCTCATGGTTTAGGGTACAAGCTTTTTTTTTACAGCTCAGGACAAAATGAACCCAGCTGTATTTACGGTGTTGTGGGTAAAGGGAGGCAGTGTTTGTGTGTGAGCTCACGCTTTGTTGGTCTGCACGCTGTATGGCACGGGGCATCACAAGGAGATGCTGTTAATGGTTAACACGGGTGGCTGCTGCGAGGTGGACGAGGAGCTACAGAGGGGTGGGGAAGAGGAGCAGGAAGGCTGGGGCTCGCTGTCTTGGTCAGCGTGGCTGGTGGTGCCGCGTAGCTGTTGAGCTGCAGAGGTGCAGTCAGCAGCTGAGGACCCGGCGTGGATCTGCTGGAGGTGTGCAGGGCTCTCCGGTCTGCCTGGGGAGCCCCGCTGCACCTTGCAGACCGTGTCCTGTCCCCACGATGCTGGCTTGAGTCTGTCCAGAGAAAGGCAGCGGGTGGTGAAGAGGAAAAGAGAGAGGAGGCAGCAGGAGAAAGCACCTCCTGTGGCTGCTGCCTGGGGAATGATGCAGGTGAGGGCTGCTATGGCTTCAGAGGGAGGTAGTTTGTGTGCTCGGAGACCCTAAGAAAACTCTGATGCCCCACCAGATGTTAAAAGCACCTGCCTGTTGCAGAAGCAGCGCAGAGCGTAGCTGTGCAGGCTGCATGCAGGTACCCGGGGCACAGACAGGCACACGTGTCTTTGTGTGGAGCTCTCAGCAGAGAAACTGAAGTGATGCGCCCAACCAGACACATCCCGGTGCCGTGGCAGGGTGGTGAGGTCCCTTCTGTGCTCTGAGGAACTTGTGGAGAGGTGAGGAGAGAAGCTGGTGTTCTGCCTGGGGAAGGAATCACTGCTGAGAGAGATAAGAAGATTATCAATTTATTTGCCAAGAAAATCTCAAGTAAAGACGTGTGAAATAGAAACAAGTCTGAACATAGGTGCGGTTGCATCCTGTTCAAAATGTCATGAGTTGCTATATATAAGGCGGAAGGGCAGATATTCTGCCCTTTATTTTTGGAAGGGTAAATATTCTGTCCTTTATTTTTCGTTGTCTTCCGTCTCCTCTCTCTGCCCCACACCCCCCGTGAAGCTGAAACGACGTGCAGCTGATGCTCTCTTCTTCTCTCCTTCAGCCAAGAAGAGGATGAAGACACGTCCTCCCGGTACTACGTCCCCAGCTATGAGGAGGTGATGAACGCAGGCTACTCCGAGCCCCATAACCCGGACAGGAGCCACAGGCTCAGCGTCTCGCTGCCCTCCTACGAGTCACTGACGGGGCTTGACGAGGGCGCACAGCCCCAGGGAGCAGCCGGCACGGAGCCTGGTGTGGAGCCTGGCACAGAGCGGCCTCCTGGTCGGCACAACTCACGCCTGAGCAAGCGCCTGAAGCCCCTGAAGGTGCGGAGGATCAAGTCGGAGAAGCTGCACCTCAAGGACATCCGTCTCAACCTCGCCGACGGGAGCAGCACCCACCCCATCACGATCGAGCCACTGACACCCCCGCCAAAGTATGAGGAGATCCAGGAGAAAGCGCTGGAGAGCCAACAGATGACTTAGAGAGGGGAATTTGGTGATTCTGCGGGTTGAAAACACTTGGAGAGGCTTGGGCAGAGGGTGTGGGAGCATTTGGCACTCCCCGGATGCTGAAATATTGAGGGAGCAGTCAATGGAGACTGCAGCATTGCACGAACAGGACCGTCTCTTCCCAGGATGGTGTGTCAGATACCATAGGGAAATGGCAATGTGCCTGCTGCTGTGAAGGACACAAAGGTCGGAAGGACTGGATATGTGTTTTGTGTTGTTTTAAATTAAGGACAACCTAATGTATCTTTTCTCCTTTGTGCCTTGCCCCAACAAAAGGTTTTGAAGCCACCCAACTGCTATTTAGCAACAATTTTCCAAGAGAAAAAAGGAAATGTTCTTTTTTTCTTTCTTTTTCTTTTTCTTTTTTTTTTTCCAAGTCTTTTCTTTTGGAGTAAGGCAAGCAAAAGTGTCAGATCAGTGCCGTAGCTGTTCTCTGCTCCAGTCACCGGTGGGGTTGGGATAGTGGCATGGGGCCAGCCCAAGCCCATGCAGAGTTGTGTGCTTGCTGGTGCAAAGCAGAATGAAACGAGCCCTTAAACTTGTCAGACTCGTAGGTAAGGCTTTACCCATAGGAAGTTTCTTACTGGCATCAGCGCTCGTGCTCCTGTGGGAGAGGACTGTATTTCTTGCCTCGGTGGTTTTCTCTTTGTGCGTTGTGTTGGGAATTGAAGGGACAGTTGGTGAATGCAGGGGGCTGGGAGCTGCAGCAATGTACCTCTGCCAAGAGGTGTTCAAGATGTGCTGGGTGCGAAACGACTGTAGAGTGTGCTGTGCAAGCAGACCTTTTCTAAATAAATATTTTGTACATGGTGTGTGTGTGCGTTTGTGCACAGATGGCTGTTCCCACAGAATGTAAGCCAGAGCTGTATGAAATCAGGCAACTGTTTTAGGGTGGATGCTGCTCCTCTGCCATCCTGGAATTACCTCCTCTACCTCCTGGGCTTGCAGCAATGCTATGGCCTACAAAGTCATGAGCATCCTGCACTCTCAGCCACATATTCCTTCACCTCGTTTGAATGTGGAGGGGTGTATGGAGAGCTAAATCTCTCCCAGATTTGTAGCAGTTGTCCATGTTGTGTTTTTGTCGATAGGATGCTGATATTGGTGTAGGTACAACCTGTCTGATGGAGGTTGACTTGGTGATAGTTTAAGTAAAATGTATGAGAAGAGTGCAAATGGTCAAAACAGAGACAAGAAAGAGATGCTGGTCCAAATCAATATAACAGTATATTTTATGGCTTCATATTCCATTATTTCTATTATTTTAATCACAGGATATTCACTCTGTTGTGCCCCAAAGGACAACATGATCTCAGATGGGCAGAATAGCTTCATATAATAAGGGTCTTCCTTAATCAAATGAAGGGAAAAAGAATAATGGAAGAGCATTTTAACTTTCCCCCAGCCTCATGTGCCTCAAAGAGCCTGCCCACAGTGGGAAGCAAGTGCTTTAATTCTTTGCTGAGTTAGCAAGTTCTTCCGAGGGTGTGACTCTGGTCAAAATATTGGACCCTGAAACCTTCCATGAAATATGTATCTGCAGGAACACAAAGTCCTCTCTCCCTGGTGACAAAATGCAACCATAACAGTTGTCCTACAAAATGTAGATAAATATCAAGTTAATAATGTGAGGTCTTCGTATGTGTGGTTGGGTGTTGGGTTGGGTATTGCTGCTTTACCAGGACATCCCGTGTCATGAAACAATCTGGGAAAAGCAGAATCTTTCTCAGTGTGCAGTGGAGGAACAAAGCTGAGAAACCGATGTAGAATGTAGTGGCCACAGTGAAATGTTGTGTGACCAATGCATCTGACAAATGTGCAGGTGGCTAATGAATATCTGCTCCTTGAACTTTGGAAAGCACGGAAAGATGTGTGATGTTAAGGAAGGTGAGTGCTTTCCACATTTTGACCGTCACTGTATGAGGATGGCTCATTCTCCATGTGAAGGTGAGGTTATATTACAATATATATCGTAGGTGGTAAGAGTAGCTATTCCTGAAGGTGAGTATGAAGAAGGGGAGAGATGGCAGCTGTCTTCACCGACATCCTACATGCACCTAGCCCAGATCTCATGCTATTTAGCTTAGGTAATAAACGTGCTTGTATTTGAGAAATCAGAACGTGTTTCCCTACACAGTGTCCAAATTTTCATGTGTATCTTTGCATCTCTGGATGGTCAGTCATGTTCAGGGGCAACTCCTGGGATATACAGACCTGGTATTCGTGTCACGGAGGAAGCCTCGTGTTATTTTTAAAAATCATCACTGAAATGCTGGATTTGGGCTGCAAAATCTCTGCTGTTATTTTTCAGTGCAAAACTCTTGCAAGGAAGGAAAGGTAAGGAGGCATTGGCAGCAAACCACGCATTCGTGCTTCCTGGTGAGCAAAGGGTGACAAATGGCTGTGGTGCCGCCGATCATGTCCCGGGTCAGCAGCCTGGCTGCCATCCAGGAGCAGCCCCATTGTGTGGGGTGGAAATTTGGTTTGTGCCAAGAATTGAAGAAGTTTTAGAAAGACAGGAAAAACTTTGCATGCAGTGTTTTTGCAGATTGGGTAACTATTTTTGGGGGGGAGGAGGGAAGTGCTGTGTTTTTGCAAGCATGCTTCTGAGCTGAGTTGCTTGGGACTCAGCAGCCCAGTGTTGCAATATCTGAGCATGGAGTGCAATTCTCACTAATCTTGTTAGGTTTGGTGTGGGTGTGGTACACGTCCCTGGGGAGATTCGTGGTCGTTTCCATGGCCTCTCTCAGCCTTCCAGGCCCTTGTCAGGGCTGCTGACACCTGCCAGCATATTGGGTGCTGGGGGAGATCTTTTGACCCTTTTTAAGGTCTAAATCTCACATATCGTGATGTGTTTGTGTCCCTGTATTGAAACGTGAAGGAAGTGTGAACAATTTGTGTGGGCTGGAGGATGTAGAGCTCCAGGCAGGAGCAGGCCTGGCTCTTGCCCTCAGCTCGGGGTGGCGGCCATCATGGCGGCCTGGTTGCCACGGTGACGGCGGCAGGGATGGGGAGGCACTGCGAAATGGCGCCTTGGGGACGCGTGAGGTGGCAGGGTGCAGCCCTCGTCACAGCAACCTGGGCTTAGATCTCAATTTAATTAATCCCCTCTCCACAGCAGAATAACCCTCACCATCACAGGGCAGCCCAAGGGCCTTGGTGAGTCACAAGTGGCGGGCAATATAATACATGCTTCCAAATAAAGAATAAGTTAAAAAAGCAAAAAATGTTCTCTGGCAGGCTCGAACAGGTAGGCTGCATGACAAACTGAGTGTTTTCATACATGCAGAACAAATGTCCTCTGAGAAACTAGAGCTGCAGTCTGCACCGACACAGAGCTGTGTTGTGCTGCCGGGCCTGTTGCTTGGAAAAGGGGAGGAAAAAAAAAAAAAGAAAACAAAAAGCAAAAAACAAAACAAACAAAAAGGAAAGCAGTAGGGTGTCAGCCGGCTTTAGTTTCACAGGGGTTTCCCTGGCTACTGCAGGGTACAGGGAGGAGCAAAGGGATGTGTGTGCAGACCTAGGTCCCTTGCCTCTGTAAATAACTTTACTGCTTTATTGCAGGAACCAGCGGCATATAAGGTGGTGGAGAAGTTCCTGGCTCAGCTGCATGCATTGCAGGGGGATTACTAAATGAGTAATGCATATTATGTTCTGACCTTTGAGGTGAAAAGGTAATACTATGAGAGCCTTCCTAAGGAGCTCAGAAGGGTGTTTTCAGCTGAAGCCACAAACAACCACGATCGGGAGACACGAAGGGTCAGACATCGTGCTGAAGGTATGGGAAAGCTGCGGGACTCCTGGGTGGACAGTGGGTGGGGAAGTTATTGGTTGGGAATTAGAGGGAGAGGAGTCTGGTTGTGCTGGCAGACAGCTCTGTCATTAGTGAGGGTGCAGGTAGGGTGATGGACTGCAATTTGAAAATGCAAAGCATAGAGTCTAACAGCCTATTTGCATGCTTTGGATGCAGGTGGGGTGGTGCACGGCAAGCCTAAATGCCGGGAGTAGTGGCTAACAGCATATTCACATGGAGAAGTACAGCAAGGAGAGGAGGGCTGGGCAAATCAGCAGCAGTAACACAGCTCTGGTTGCTTTCTGAGGGTTTTGTCTCTTGCTCGCTGATCTGTTTTGTCAGTCTGCAGGGGTAGAGGATCATCACGCGGCCCTCAATTTCGACGGCTGGGAGAATGGCTTTGTCCTGCAGGACCTCAATTCTCCCCAGGGCACCTTTGTGAACGGCTGCCAGGTGCAAAACGCGGCGGTGCGAGTGAGCCCAGGCGACATCCTGCACTTCGGGGCACAGGGAGCATCCTTTGAGCTAGTGGTTGATGAAGTCCCACAGGTAAAGCAAATGCTGGCCATCAAGGCTGGTAAATGGGCACACAGCTGTCAGGCAGCCACCTTGTTTTAGCCTCTCACAGCCGCACATAGGATGAGGGGGGGAAAAAAATACCCACCAAGAGTCCAGTTGGACGTGATGTGGAGGAGAGCTGTGCTTCAGAGGAATCAGGGCATGCTCTCCGGTGCAGGCTCGTTTCTTAAATCATCAGGAAGCGTGAGGGAGAAATAAAAAGCTCGAGCTCCCTCTGCTGAAGAAACTCAGGCACCTCAGCAGGGTGAAGAAAGCATGGAGCAGGTTTCCTAACAGCAAGGCCAACATAACAGAGGTAGGTCTTGGGAAGCCGTGAAAGCATTAGAAAATGACCTTTACCAGTGTTTCTGTTTAATCTTTCTTCAGAGACTACTTAGTAATGAACTAGTGTTAAAGATCCAACTGAGAGCAAATGGAAAAAATGAAGGCATTGCTGGTGCTTTGCTTGGCAAGGCTGTGCACAGCTGCAGACTCTGTGTTGTTCTGCACAGCAAGGCCAGAGCATCACAGCCTGTCTTGTGGGCATGATAGAAATCCCAAGCTATGGTAAACATGGAAGGAATGTGATCCAACGTGGTGATTCCCCAGGAAATGTACCAAGGCAGGATGTCAGCGGAGGTTGTTAAGCTTCTGGGTTATTAGAGTACACAGGATCGATAAGATCTGTATGATTTGTATTGTTGTGTCATTTGAAGAATCCTAGACAATAGAGACTGAGCAAGAGTGCTGGAAAATTGTGTGTGTGGCGTGCCGGGTAGTGGGTGCTGCCGAGCCTGGCCTTGTAGCCCAGCCTATGTATGATTCAAACGTAATGCAGGCCATTTGTTCACCCAGGTACTGCTTTATTTATGTCTCAGCAAGGTTCCTGGTGTAGTGAGATGACCTTGTGAATCCTAATGAGGCCAGAAATCTTAGGCCAAGAGGAAAAAATGCAGTGCTGCAGGATGAAGCCGTGCAGCTGGCATGCAAATTCTGGGCAAGTGAAGCTTGCTGAAGCACCAAGCATTTTAATTTCCTAAAGTATGTGTGTAGCCTGCACACAAAAATGCAGTTATGCACAGTGGCACAGAAAAAGCACTGTCGGTGCCTCTTTATTGCTCTGGGCTTTATGATCCGTCTTTGATATACTAGCTTTGAAGCCTGACACCGCTGACTGCAGAGAGTAAATCACTTCTATATTTCGCCGTGTGAAGTGTTTACAATGTTTAATATAAGGAGGCCTCTCTCTCTCTCTCATTTTCAGTGGTATTAGAGATGAACATGTTTTAAAGAAGAGCAGCAGCCGGCTAAGAGAGCTAAGTTCTCCATTATGAAAAATAAATCCAAAGCTCTGGAAGTGTAACAGCATGTAAAGCAGACTGGCAATCTCTGCCTTTTCTTGTCAGCTTTAGAAATGAAGGGTGGCTGTGCTTTAAGCAGCAGCAGGTCAGCTGCAGCTAGTGCCTTACTGCAGCTTTCTCCCTTGTCTGGAAAATCAGCAAGCTCCACGCAGTGCCAGGGCTGAGCCCACATTTCCAGATATTTATTTATGGGCTGGCATAACTTGAAATTGAGGGTTGCTTCTCAGCCAGCATGCAGGACCTTAACGTTGGCTCATCTTCATGGTAGCTGAAAGTGATACTTATAGGGATAATAGCATATAGAGTCCTAATTACATGTCGGACATGCACAGTGTAAGGCTGGGGAAATGTGATTGCAAGGCAGGTGTGCAATGAGAGGCTTTGTTTCAGGATATCAAAAGAGAGAAATGACAGCGTAGAAGTGCTTGTGCGTGTTCCAGGAAAAACCCAGAACAAGCGCATCCAAATTTTGCAGATGACACACAGAATGAGGGTAGGCTGGTCTAGAGAGGGAGTGAAGAGCTCCAATAACGTCAAAGCCCCAAAATGTGCATATTACAGGTAAGCATTTAGACTTCAGGATATGGATCTGATCAAATGACCATGGGAAAGGGAAAGGACTGGAATTATGCTTCCACTCAGGCCTGTACCCGTGTTTTATGTTACCTCTTTGCACACATATCAGGGGCTGGAAAGCCTTCTTATGCTCTTGCTAATAACACGGTCTTTTTCCACTGCAGACCTCCTATCCTCCAGTGAAACGTCGCATAGCATGGGCTGGGCAGCTCCAGGTGCCTGCAGATCCCCAGCACTGCCCTGCTGTGTCTCCTGCCCATCTCCCACTGCTGCAGTCCCAGCATCGCCCCAGCACTTGGAGCAGCTGGGCTCCTGCTGCAGCCAGCCCCGTGCCCCATCCACCACTCCAGAAGCGACCCCTGAGCGCCTGGACCAGGAGTGCGACCGCCTCCAGCCCTCCAGATGCTTTCAGTCGGCCCCCTGCAGAGAGGCCAGGTACTTCCTGATGGCTGCAGGAATTAGTATGACAGCAAAGGAATTGCTGATGCCAAGCGGGAAGGCTGCTTCCACCCATGCTTTCCCAGCAGTTTGTGGCCTTATGTCCTCTCAGATCAACTCAGCACTCAGCAGAGCTGATCCGAGCAGAGACGTTTTTGATTCGCGCCGATAAATGACGAGTGTCACAGGCAGTTGGTTGTGAGTCCTTGTCATGCGAAGCTAATCGGGGTCCATGTGTGATCGGTGGTATTTGGGTCAGTTAGGAAATGTGCCATGACAACCTGTGGGGAAAGCCATTGCCTCGGTAACTTCGGTGGCATTTCCTCTTCCTTGTTCCTCGTGTGTGATCCCGAAGGCGATTACAGACTTTATCTTCATCGATGACTCATGCACCTATTCCAGTCTGTTCGTAGTGGTGGGTTGGTTCCTTTGATGTGCGGTTCCTGGCTGCCTTGAGCAAAGGAACATAAAAGTAGATCTGTACCTGATATGTTTCTTAAAAGTGAAGTATGCTGTAGCAGCGGAGCAAAGGCAAGGGTTTGTGGGTATGAAGTGATTGAACAGCACAACTATGGGAAAAGATTATTGCCACGAAGGTAGTTTGTTGTATCAGGATACCTGATCTCATGATTTCTGTGGTTTCATAGAATGTCCTGAGTTGGAAGGGACCCGCAGGGATCATCAAGTCCAACTCCTGGCTCCACACAGGAGTACTCAAAAATGAGGCCATATATTGGTAGCGTTTGTGCTTTATTTTGTGTTTTTAACAGTCAGAGGGAATAGAAAGTCACTAGTAAACTGCCAGATTATACCTAGTGCTCCAGAGCAAAGGACATTACTGTGCAGTCACAGCTGCACAGCATAAAGCCACACACACAAGTCCCAGTGAAGGTGACAGGAGTGAAGCTTGTGCTCCAAGGTAGCACAGCTTTGTTTGATTTTTGAAATAGAGCCAAAGGGATCTGTGTGTGTTAATCCTAGTGAACTTTTAACTATTCCTCTGCTGTGAGCAATGAAAATTGACCTTCTTTCTTTGGGGCTGGACAGGGTTAAAAACTCAGAGGAGCCTTCAGTTCTGTGTCTGTGTGCCTTGGAGGCTTTACATTTCCCAGAGGTGTATTATTCCTCTCTCTTGTGTAGACTGTTTGCACTGGTGGGGATCTTTGTAGTGCCAAACAGGTGGCTATCGTTGTGAGTGTGAGCCAAGCTTCAGACTGTAAAGTAGCCACTGCCCGCAAATAGGCTTTGGACAAGTGAGAGAGAGAACCTCACAAAGTGCTAGTCCTGCCCCCTCATACAGCACTATTTTCTTATATTTCTGATATTTTATATATATATTTCTTATACAGCTACTATATTCTTTTCTATCTTTCAGCCTGGACCACAATCTCAGGCAATGATCCAAGTAGTGGGGCAGGAGCCCCTTTCCTGAGGATTCATAGCGTGGACTGCCTCCTGCAGGAAAAGGTGATGCTGCAGAAAGGGTGAGGGATGCAACTCATGGTCCTGCCCTAGGGAAAAGTGTGGTGAGAGTGATTGTATGGGCTGGTAGATGACAAAGTGTGCAAAATTGTGTGTGTGTGTGACCAAGAGTCCCAGCAACGTGCAGGGAACTGGGAAGCACTGGGTATGTGGAGGATCTGGGCTCTCTGGAAATTCAGGGTGAGGAGGGAGAAGGTATCAGCTGTGTCTGAAAAGCATGGATGTCGCAGGGTGACTGCAGTGTGTTGTTAATGAGAGAAGGCTAGCCTCATCCAAAGCTGTGTGCTTTATGGAAATTACGCGGTTACCCTATAGAAGCAGGCAGCCTGGTGTCTGTAACTGCAGAGTGACAGACGACACATGGAACCTGCCCGCAGGATGAAAAGCTGCTGAGACTGGAAAAGGAAATCAGTCGTCTCTCTGGTTTTGAAGCAGAATCAAAGCAGAAAGATACAGTGATAAGGAGTCTTCAGGACAAAATTGCAGAGATGGCCAAGACCATGGCCCAGGCTGCTGCTAGAAGCGATGTGGAGCTGACCCAAAAGCTTCTAACGTTTGACAGAGAAATCAGAGCCAAAACAGAAGAGATTAAAACCTTAAAGGAACAGGTACGCAGTGCCTAAGCAGGCATACTCGGTCGAAAATAGTGTTCTGACACATATGGGTCTTGAACTGAGCACCTCGTTCGGAGGGAGAGGAGGAGGTAGCATGTGTGGAATGAAGGGGAACCAGAGATGGTTTTAATCATTTGCCATGTTTTGCCCACATGATTGCTTGTTCTGTAATTGTCCCATAACAAAGCTGGGAATCAAATTTCCCATTTATGTGGCAGGACCTGCGATGCCATGGTGGGAAGAGGAATATAAGCCTGAACTACTTCTGGCGGAGAAAAGCCATGTGCAATCCCTGCAGGCCAGGCTGCCTGACTCCTTTTCTCCCTCATGCCTCTGTTCCCCCAGGAACAGAGCCAGCATTTGCATTTGCAGGGGGCATTATGGTCCAAAAGGCAAAGAAGCCCTTTGGCACCCAGATGAAAACAGGTGGCCAGGCAGAAGGGCATGGCCATATAGGTGTCCTGTCCAGGGATATGTTATGTTATAGGTGGGAAGTCAATTCCTACTTTCTGCTCTTTGCCTGTGGGGTGCTGACATGCAGCAGTAGACAGTGCAGATTATTCCCTGCTCCTGATACTGTGCTTGTGGCAGAAACATGAGCGTGACTGCTAGCACCTATGGATCTACTTTCATGAGCAATAAGTATATATGCAGAGCAAAGGCTATAAATCTGAGGATATTTCAGCCTGTTTCTGCAGTAGCACTATCCACCAGCCCAAGCTGTATGTTCTCGGGATTGCAGCCAGCATGAGACATTGTCTCTTTGTGCCTTTGATATCAGGCTTTTGGTGTGAACAGCCAAAATGTTGATAGGCAGATCCTGTCCAAAGCAATTACTCCAAAGAATTAGCCTAGGATAGTAATGAGTAACCTGACCAAACCGTGACTGTCTTTGAGGGTTCATGAAAAGTTAATGGCAGTCAGAAACCAGGGCAGTCTCTGTGAAGCTTGAGAGGAGCTGAGTTTGCATTTAAAACAAAAGCAAGCGTATTGGAGCAACAAAGTTACCTGGTGAGGATCATATGATATTTTTTTTTTCCTCTATTTTAGATCAGTGACTTGCAGAAAGATTCAAGTGAAATTTTTAGCCATTCTCTTTATGAAAGAGACCTGGAAATTGGAAGCCTGAGAAAAGAAAGTGAGAAGCTAAAGAGGGATCACGCTTTGACCACAGGTATGTTTGCCTTGATATTTCATGGGAGCTCCTTGTAGGGGCACGAAACAGCTGAGGGTTGGCTTTGCAAAGAGACCACACATTTGCAAGATTGTCTGGCAGCAGTTTGTAGTGGCTGGGAAAATTTGTCCCACTTTGTGTTCTGTTTCTTGAAGCTCTGTGGGATTTGCAGGTAGTTGCTGGCATAAGGAGCCCCACAGGAGTGAGGGGGGAGCGAAGATAGAAGGCAGAGAGTGATGGGACAGAACTGTGTTTAAAAAAGAAAGCACAGCAAAAAGTGCTGACTGCAGGGCAAAGCCCCGAGCTGCTCGGGCTGGGTGATGCTGGTTGGACTGCAGAAGCCTGTGCACACTCGTTGCATGCTCACTGTCAGGCTCTGAATTACCGTGTGGCTGCAAAGGCTGCCTCTAACCACAAGCCTGTTCCACTTGCCTCTATCTCAGCACTTATCATTCCCGAGGAATGTGATGTGAACATAAAATAGTTGCTGTTTTTCCCCAAACAGCCATTGGCTGTGCGCTGAGATTAGTGAAATTGTTCTGTCTCATTTCTGTGGTCCGAGGTAATCTGCTCGTAACAGCGCTTGGCAGGGAGAAGAGCTCAGAGCTTTGGCCCCAACGTAGAAATGTAAGGGAAACAGATCTGTAAGAAAGCTGCTTGTCCTCCTGGGAGCATATGCTGCAGGGCCCGTGGGGACTTGTTAACGATCTTTTCGTGGAATAATGTCCAGCACGGCTTGCCAAGAGCTGGAGCCGCTCTCCAAGTCAGACAGTTGTCAGATGGAGACTCGCCACTCAGTGCCCAGAGGGCTTCTGCAGGGAAATGCTTTGGTTTCCTCTTGCCCAAATTGTTTTCCCCAGGTCTAGTGACCAGCCTGCAAAGGGAGATTGCTGTGAAGGAGCAGAAAATTCAGCAACTCAAGCAGGACGTGGAGAAAATAAAGAAGGCAAACAGAGAAAAGGACAACCAGCTGGCTGTTGTGTCTGCCAAGGTTAGCACCCCAGTGACGTGCTCTGTAAGTGACAGTCTCATACACGGGCTAGCATGGAACAGTAAGATCCAAAGGGTCTCGCTTCTCTCTGGTAAGGACTGGAGCAGCTATTTCAGCAGCTGTGTAACAGGGACAGATGTAACTGCTGGGTCCTGACTGCATGTAAATAGTCGCAGGAAGCCAGAGCTGTGTCTCTGAGATGTAGCAGCGACAGAGCAGTGGCTGGGTATGCTGTGAAATGCCTGTGTGAGGTGTCAGGTTCACCAGATGAATCCCCCTCCTTGTTCTACAGTGCAGGTACTTGGTGACCTGAATTTCTGGGAACACTGTGGCTGTTTGTGTGCTCAAGGCACTCGTGCCAAGATCCTGCTGAGAAAGCCATGGAAACCCGGTCTTAAGGATGCACCCTGCAACCAAGCCTGTTTTTTTCCCCATAAAGAAAACTGCCTGTATAGCAGGTTGTTTGTCTGTGTATGTGCAGCTCCCTGCTCGAGTGGCAAAGCTGCATAATCTGCATAATAAGTGTGGAGCGGGTGCAGCATTGTGGCTGGCTGACGAGGCAGTGTTCCAGGAGATTGTAGTGGCTCTCATTGATTTCTGAGGAACGGCTGAAACTGAAGCGCCCCGGGGGTGCAGGAAGAGGTCTCTGTCCCTGGCAGCCTGCTCCTGGTGGAGCTGCTTTCTGGATGGCAGAAGCAGGATGCTCCCCACTCTGCTGTGGGTCAGCTCTGTGTAACCCATGGAAATGGGATAGGTGTGAGCAGCAGTTAGGGGCTGAGGGGGAGAGCAGGTGTCCCAGGAATGCTGCTTGGTAGCTGGTGGCCCTCTTCATGCCTGTAGAGGGCAGAGAGCACATCCCTCTGCAGCCTCCACTGCTGCAGGGATGTAGGAATGATCTGGGGTGAGGGAGGAGCTGTGTTTGGAATAGGGCCATGCTCTGAAACCCAAACACTCAAAAATGGAACTGAAAAGCACCCTGTAGTGTGTCAGCTTGGAAATATCTGTTCATGTCATGGTTTGAGTTACCATGGATGTCTTGGAAAGAGCTTTTGGTTCCATTTGTCCTTTCTGCTGTTGCTGTTACACTTTTGCTAAGGCCCAATGAATTTTTCTCTGTAGAGTATTTGCTGCACACAATTTCTCTTCTCTCAGCCAGGCTATGATTTAGATATGGGCCTGTCCAGGTGCTGGTACTGTCATGCTCTCAATGCCTCGATTGCCCTGTCATGGACACTCTGCTACCCATTAGGCATCTGAGCACTGAGCTGTGCTGTAGTACTGAAGGGTACGTTGACATTTCTGTCAGAAATGACAGTATCTGGCCAGCCTGATAACTTTTTCCATCGGTTGCTGTTCTTTCTAGTGCTCTAGACTTAAAGAGGAAATGAAGCGTGAACTCGGAGAGAGGGATGTGACTCCATACCAAAAAGTGAGTTTCCAGTCATTTGGGGTGATGTAGCACACCAGAAAGCAACGATTGCAAAAATGTGCCATGCAGAGAATATTCCTAGGCATTGTAAGAGGAGCGTTTTGAATCCAGCTCCTGTAAAGGAAGGGATGTAACGTGCATAACCAAGTGGAGAAATGTAAACTTCTGGAAAAACTGAAGTTCAAATAAAAATAATCTCAGTTCAGGAGAGCACTGTCAGGAATAAGAAATCAAGTCAATCTATCAGCTGTAAAGAGAAGCTAGAAGAAAAGACTGGGATAAATGAAACGGGATAGGTAGGGAGAATATCTTGCTTGTTGTTGAAATTCTGTAAGAAAAACAAGAGTGAACTCTTCCTTTCTGGGACTCTTGCAGCGCATTGGGGAGCTGGAGTGTGACCTGAAGGGCTTGCAGGGAGAAGTCCAGAAGTATCGCATTGAGCAGGAAACCATCCAAAGCAAGCTGTCTGAGAAAGCAAAGGTAAATCTTCATGCCAAAAGTTAGCAGCTCTCTCCTCTGGAAAGGAGAGTGGACTTGTATAGCTTGGGAAGTGAAACGTGCAGCTTCCACTTGTCAGCCAGGATGAAAGGACAGGTCGCCTGGTCACTGGCAGTGGAAGCTTTGCAATAGGAAATGCTCCGCTGTATAGGAAGTAATTTGTGTACCCAGTCCTGCTGTCCCCCAGCAATATCAATTCCCCAGGGTCCACAGCGTGCCCATGGCAGCAAAACAGGAACTGAAACAGGAGACCAGAATGGCGCGTTAGGAAGTCTAGGGTGGATGGTGTCCCAGGGACCAAAGCCAAGCCAAAAAGCAGCACTGTGGGTAAAACTGCAATCCCACCGCCTGCAAAAGGATGAAAATATCTATCTTGGTACCTCAGAGCTGAGGTAGAGGTGTGTCTGATGTGGATGGTGGAGGTAGAAATGCCTGTGGCATCGCTTTCTGGTAGCACTTTGATAATTAAAGGCTTTTGTTGTTTCAGGCTGAAGAGGAGCTGAAAAATGCCTGTGAAAGGAAATCTCTGCAGTTACAGGAGATGGGGCGCAGGGAGCGCCTGCTGAAATCTGACGTGGATCGTGCCAAAGTGCAGGTAGGAGGAGGAGTGGGAGTTTCTTACTATGCGGGCCAGAGGCAACAAAGGGACTGTTTCTCTCATGGGGAAGGACATTGTACTGGTGAAAGGCAGAACATGAGTTCTGGGAAGGAAAAACTGAGCACCAAAGTCTGGCACGATTCTTATCTCTTTGGCTTGCTCAGCATGAGAGGCTTATCGGAAGGATTTGTTTCGTCATCGCAGAAGATTCAGAGCCTAACAGGAGACAGAAACATAGTGGGTTCTCTGTGATCAGTCACATTCTCTGGGACTTGTGCAAGTCCTCCTGTGAGTCTCTGAAATGCTGCTTGGTGCAGAGACAGCTCCTTGCAAAGTAACGTGGTGTATTTAAAGGCAAGCAACACAACCCAGAGATGTTGCCTTGTTTGCAGAGCCATGCCACCTGCTACAGCTTTTGACTGTGTTTATCACTGGCTGACTGTAGCAAAGGTCCTGCCCTCAGCACAGGAGGAAATTCTGCTTTCTTTGTGTTGACACGTGTCTGACAGCTGGGCTAGATGGCCGTGACACAGCTATGCTGTGCATGAGAAGGTTGTGTCCCGCGTTAAACTGCAACACATGGTTTTTGCTAGCATGATTTTGCTAGAAAACTCAGTCAGCGAGAGGCAGAAAAGGTTTCTTTTCTGAAAGCTGTGAGATAAAATGTCTGGAAATTAACCCCCCAATTTGTGCTTGTTGCGGAGCCGATGGCAACCTCAGTCTTTTAAGGACAGATGGAGACCTAGCAGTATGGAGCAGGAACTCCCCCAGCCCACACACACTCAGCCTTTGTCCAAGCCCCAGGAGGAACCCGTGCCAGCTAGGAAATGGTGTGGTAAAGACCTAGCCTCAGAGGAAACATTGCACGTCCTGTTCCGAGAAGATGCCGTGGGTGGCATCCGCAGCTGCCCCCAGCCTGGGCTGTTTCACAGGAGGACGTAGCCAGGGCTTTCTGTGGACGTTGCTGTTGCAGGAACTACATATGTGCTCTGTGAGCTCAAAATCTGAAAATGGCACAGGGCCTTGGTGCCTGAGGTGGCAGAGAGTTCCCAAAGTAAAAGCATTTCTCCTTCTCTCCTCTCCTTGGATCCTGCCAGCCACAATAATATCAAGCCACGGTAAGGAAGTAATGCAGGAAATGCACAGGGATGCTCTCTTCATTGATTCTTGTAGGGTTTTGTAGAGCAACAAAGTGGGCTTTTTGTCGATTCTCAGTGACTGTGGTTTTCCTGTGTTGATCTCTGCTGTAGCTGGCATCTTTCAAAATGCAAGTGGTACAAGTCTGCCTCCCACAAGCAGCAGGAGAGGCAGGGAAGGCCCTCACCGTCCAGCAGGTGAGTGCAGATGTGGTCACACAGTGATGCTCATCGCCTCCACAGCCTGTCTGGGCTCGAGGCTGCTGCAGAACAGCCCCAGCACCTGCACTGTGTGCAGTAGGGCTGTTATTATCCAGCTTTTTCACATCACAAATGATGGTGCAGCTACCCCATGGAGGTGACGTTGCACTGTAATGTGAAGGAAGTGGGGCCCCACTTTGTTTGGGGTTCCTCTAAAGCTTGGGTGGAGTCATTGGGCTTCATCAGGGAAAAGCCCAGGAGTCTGATGTGGCTAGTGAATTCCAGCAGGTTTCAATCGCTGCCCAAAATCTCTGTCCCCAGGGGATTTTCCCTCAGCTGAAAAAAGGTTTTGGCATGGAGCTTTCTTCTCCTCTCCCTGGCAGGTACTTGAGAAGGTCAGGCAGATCTGTGAGGAAAACCAACAAAGTCAGGAAAGAGAGAAGCGTCTCCAGGAGGAAATAAGTGCCAGGCTCTCGAAGGAAAAGGAGGTGTCTGAAAATGTCACGGTGTTCAAGGAATCAGTGCGTGAGCTCCAGGTCAGTCATCTAAATACTGTTCACAAAGTTTCAGCTGGGAAAAACGTGGCACAAGGCATTTTATTGGCCTTGAGGACAGGTCAGAGAAAAGATAATGCGTGTCCAGCTGTGCTGGCAAGCATAGTGCCCTCAGCTTCACCCTGAAAAACGTTGGTTTGAAAGGAACAGAACCCTTCACACCAGCCTCCTCCCCTGGACCTTTCCTACCCAAAGATACCAACCCATGGAGGTGTTTGGTGAATAAAGAAATTTCTGGGCTTTCACAGATGTCTTGTGTTACTTGTGCAGTCACAGGAGACCGTGTGTTACAGAGGCTGATGTGCTCATTGGTCTTATTGCTTTTAGGCTTTCCTGGGGACCTCGTTCTGCAGCGACAGCTTGAGGAGGGAGCTGTGCAAGTTCGAGGCCGTGCTTGTGGACCCCTTGGTGTCGGACGTGCAGGCAGCTGTGGTGGAAATCGCTCGCGTGGCCCTGTCGTGGCTGGAGGGAGCGGAGCAGCTGCTGGCAAGCGCAGGGTTGGACCTGCCCACCTCTGGCAAAGGTGCCTGTCCCATGGGGGTGGGTGTCTTAAGTCTCTCTAGGCTTTCCTAGCAGGAAAACAGGACACGTGGGTGTTTGTCTGCAGGCTGTATAGTCTGCAGATGATGGACTTTGTCTGTAGACGTTGTGGTTATTCAGTGATAGTGGTTTGGTTGTTTCCCCTGGTGGGATATTGGTAATGATTCTTAGCAGCAGCTGTAGCAGCGCTGAGCATTGCAGGCTCAGACCCGAGCTTGTCTCAAGGTAAGGAATTTTTGTCTTACCTCTGCTGGGGAGCAGCAGAGCAGTTGCTGTGTCGAATTTGCTGGAAAGGAGTTAACGTGAAGGGTGCATGGAAACTGGAGCAGGCTGCTACGGCGTGGGACTGTGTCAGAGCATCCCGTGATGCAGTGTGAGCGGGGATGAGTCACTGCCCCGGCAGCCAGGTGGGCGAGGAGCATGGCTCACGCTGGCAGCCCACAGGGGTGGAAGGCACAGAAGTGCTGTGGCCAGTGCAGAGGAGCTGTAGGGCTGCTGTGGTTAGCAGACAGTGATCGTAGCACCAGGAACCTCGCGAGGCTACGTGCTACAAGAGGGCAGCCTGCCTCGGCTCCTGGAGAAGCGTCGTGCTTAGAGAAGAAGGGGTGATGCAGAGAACTGGGTGACAGTGCTCGACAAGGGAAATGTAGTCTCCTGGTGAGAACAGGAATCTGGGGTTTGCGCCAAGTCAGCCTCCGTTCCTGAGACATCTGGGTGGTGGCAGCGATTCAGTCAGTGCCGAGGCTGAATGTGAAGCCTGGTGGCCCAGAAGTGGGAAGGTGCCGTGCTCCTAGCAGGTGCTGCGGGGGCCCTCAGCTGGCCCCTGGCATCCTTTCCAAGGAGCCTCTAAGGCTGAACCCCAGAGCAGGGGTTGAGGGAGAGCCTCTGGGTGCAGGACAGAATTGTTGCCTTTAATTTCCTGAGAGCTGATAGCTCTCCACTGCCTGGCATAGAGAGCAAAACCCACAGGGGCTGTTTTCTGGGTAATCCTGACTAGCACTTGGTCTTCCCATGGACTTCCCATTGTGCTTTTTCTTCTCCCTGCTGTGTATGGAGGAATGGAAGTATCTGGCAAGGAGGGTGAGGGCTAGGGCTGAAGGTCGGCTGCACTGAAACAGTGCTCAGAAGAAGATGGGTAGTGTCCTCAGGCCTTTGAGGATTCCTCAGGTGCTAAAAATGAGCTGTCTGAGAAGCCCTTGCAGTAATACTCTGTGTGCTTTTGCAGGATTGACAGCCTGTCTCAAGAGGTTGTTGGAAAATAATCAGGAAACCACGCAAAGGAATAAAATGTTACAGGTAAAACTCTATCTATGTCCATAAACCCAGGTGAGTCGGGGATCTTTGCACCAGTAAACATGGTGGCTTTTTTTTGCTCTGCTGCTCACGCACTCCTTTCAGTGCCGTGGTGTCTGCCATTTCCCCATAGGCCCAATTAGAGGAATTCCGGGAGTCTCAGGATGCTCTGCTGCAGGAGCGCCTGAAAGAGCAGCAAGTGAAATACGAGCAAGACCTACAGATAAAAATCAATCAAATCATACTGGAAAAGGAGGAGGAGAAAAAAGAGGTATGGCGACGGGGTGGTTTTTCAGACATAGGTCTGTTCAGCAGGAAATCTAGGTCTCCATAATGGTGTTGCCTAGTGAGAAGAAGCCCCCAAATCCAAAATGTCTGAGGACAAGGATGCATCTCAGATATCTCCTTGTGCTGACACGGGTGAATTAAACCCCCTGAGTGACATTGCACCATGTTACTGAAAAGCATCTGAGCAGTGGCAGAGTTCATTGCTACTTATAAATCCCTGTGAGAAAGCTGTGAGCAAGGAGCATCATCCAGGCACAGAAGCACAGGAACACATCTTTTTTTCAGCAGTAAATTGATGCAAAGCACAAGCAGGCTTCCGTGCAAGCCTTTGGAGCATGTAGGGCAGCTTCATGGCTGGTGAGACTCCTCCTTCAAGTCACCTGAAGTCCAGCCAAGCTTTTTTCCCATAACATGCCCTGTTCCAGGGCGGTGACCCTGTTGGTTGCTTTCCTCATCTGAGTCAAGTTAGCTTGCCTTACAGTCCAGTCTTATCTTTGTCAAAATTGTTGGCTGTTAATTCTCAGATTATGAAGAGCGCCGCTGAAAAGGAGAAGGACAGGTGTGAGAAATACATGGGTGAAGAAAAGAAGATGGTCCGGGACTTGGAGAGCCGCCTGAGAAGCATGACTGAGGTCTGTGATGTGCAAGGGGACGTGTGGTGGTTTTACTTGGGTGGGCAGCTGAGCTCCACCTCAGCCACTCTCTCACTCCCCCTCCTCAAAGGAAAAGGGGGAGAAAATACGATGCAAAGGGCTCAAGGGTAAATTAAGGTAATTACATGCTCCACCATGGCCCTCACTGCATTTTTTTCCCCTTTTTTAGATGCGCTCTCACAGAGGCACAAACAAAATCCCTTATTGGCTCGGCTCTGGTCAGCAGCAGGGCCCTTAGCTAACATGGGGCAGCTTCTGGGTTCTTCTCACAGAAGCCACCCCTGTGGCTCCCTGCTACCCAAACCTTGCCACATAATCCCGCTGCAGGACGTAAAGCAGAAGCAATTACAGATGGCACTGTTAAAGCTGAGAGCACTCTGTGGTGTCATGTCCTGTGTGGTCAGGGTCTGTTGTCAGACTTTTTTTTCCCCCCACAAACACATGCGGATGCATATTTCCAGAGAGAAAGGTGGATCCTTGCAAGTGGGGCCTCTTCTCAAGCACTGGGCTTTTCCTCCTGCAGGTAATGGAGATGAAGTCCAAAGAGCAGGAGGTTACAGATCTCAAGCTGAGGGAAGCTCTGCGCAGCCTGGAGGAAACCACGGCACGAGAGGTAGCTCTGGTAACCCCTCTGCACACAGAGGATGTGACATAGATGTGGTTTTGTTGCATGAGGTTTCTCTGTTCCCTCCTGACTAGTGGGGCCTCCATACCCTACAGATCCAGCAGCCTCCATGCCCTACAGACCTCTAGAAAACAGGAGCTGGCTTCCCTCTAACGTTAGCACTCAGCAGGAGGAACTCTTGGCCTAAGTCATACACCAGCACCTCGCAATGTAAAGCCCTGGCTGGATGTACGAGCACACTCTTAACGTAATCCTCAGGCTTTGTGCTTCCCATGCCTGTGGAAACCCTGCTAGGTCCTGAAATAGAGGGCGATCCCGAGGGGGCACCCAGGGCACAGCCACCAGCCTGGTGGGGGCAGAGGGCTGCAGCAGTGGGAGCCTGAAGAGCACAAAGTTGGTAGCACAGAGCCCAGACAAACCATGCTGTGCAGATCAACCCGTCCTTGTCTCTCTGAGGGCAAAGCCAAGCAGGCTGCGTGGTGTAAATGCTAGCGGAGCTTGTGGTGTTATAGAGGGAAGGAGGCGAGAGCAGGGCACTGAAGATTGTGTTCCTTCCCCGTCTTCCTGACTGGGAGCCAGGAGAGATGATGCTCATCATGTTCCTGAAGAATAACGTACAAAACATGCAACCAGAGCCCTGTGTCTTCTTTCCTAGATGATGTTAAAGCAGCAGGTGCTCAGGCAAGATGAGCAGCTCAAGATCGTTCAGGAGGAGAGCGAGGTACTGAAGCAGAAAGTCCAGGAAGAAATAGCAGGATATAAAGAGCAAATTAAGCAACATGCTCGGACAATTGTTGCTTTAGAAGACAGCCTGCTGGAGGCTGAGCAGCAGCAGAAGATGCTTGAGAAGGAAAATATCACGCTCCTGGAAAAAATAGAAGGTAGCTAAGGCTTGCATGGGCTGCGTGTGTACTAGGGACACCCTCAAAAAATGTGAAAGTAAATAGAGACGGAGTAGTGATGCCATGAAAAGGGGGGGGTGTTGCTTTGAGGTTTGTCTTAGTGTAGGAAGAGCCCTGCTGTGATGCCTTGAAGGATCCCTTTCACCGTGAGTTGCCAGACATTTTTTGGAGTCTTTGATGCCTACTGGTAGCGCCCCACAGGCACAGATAAGGCGTTCCCACTTGAGAAGGGCTCTTTGCCCTCCAAAGTGACCAGGCTGGAGTGCTTCTGGCTGCACGCAAGCCAGAAAGGACTTGAGGGACTGTCTAAACACCACTAGGTCAGGGCCCAAAGACACGTTGCTTTCCAAGGAAGACTGATTCCAGTCTTTGAAGCTGTCGTGAAGGAGAGGATCTATGGAGCATTGCCCTCGTAAGGCGATGTGGTTGCAAGCCACGATGTGTTCTCACTGCAGTGTCCTGCCTGGCCGTTCCTGGATCTAAGCAGCCCCCACATGCAGACAAAGACCCCCGCAGCAAGGCTCAGCCCAGCTGCTGTGGGGGCGTTCACTGACAGCGTGCTGTGAGGCAGCAGCCCCCCAGCGTGGGCATTACCAACAAGTGATGATCTGCTGTTGTTGTCTCCTGCAGGACTTGAGAGTGATGCCTGCAGGGTGACATCGGGAGCATCACAGGAGGCCTCTTGCACCGAGGAGTCTCACCGTTGTGTTCTGTAAGCTGATGCCGAGGACTTGCTGATGGTGGTCTGGTTCAGAGGGGCTTAGAGAGCAGGAGTTATCCCCAGGAGAGCTTAAGGAAGGCAAGGGGGCCTGCAGCAGCCTGTCATGAGGTCTTCACTGTCTCTGATAGTGGAAAGAGTCCTTACATTATGCTGAGACAGCCTGAGGTGTACATAGTTTCACAAATCTCTTAGCGTGTCTAGAAGGACATCTGTGAAGGAAACCATCCCCCTTTGCTGTGTGAGGGGGGGAGACTGGCACAGAGATCCCGAGAAAGGATCGGGCACCATCACGGCGATGCCAACGTGACAGCGATTGCTGCCTGCCCACGGGCTGCCCACGGAGCCCCCTGGGTGGGGGCTGAGGCTGCTGGCAGCAGCAGCAGCAGGCAGGGGAAGACCAGTGCACCAGTGCCTCCAGTTTATTTGGTGTGGTGCCGTGAGTCAGGCGTTCTGCAGGGAGGAGCAGTGTGTGGGTTATGGGCTGTGCTGTTCTGAGGGCTCGGGGTAAGGAAGGGAGAGCAGGCAAAGGCTGGAATGAAGGCAGCTGAGCTGTGGTTTGAAAAACAGAGTACATCTTAGTAATAAGATACAGTTAGAGAATGCATGTGCAGGCTCTGTCAAATCTGCCCAAGGAGCTGTGAGTGTTGCACGCCTCTTTCTTGTGAATTTCAGGGAAGAGCTGGCTGCTGCGCAGAGCGTGCTCCTGGCCAAAGAGGCTGCTATTGCCAGGTTAACGAAGGAGCTCTCGGAAACCCAAGCCAGGATGTCAGACATGAGAGGTTAGTGAAATGGAGCACGTGGCTTCTGGCTAGCAGATGCGCTTCCCTGTCCCTCCAGAGCTGTACCAAGACCGGGTGCTATTAGAAGGGCACACACAGGTAGTGGGGAAATAGACATCACTTTCCTAAAACGGTGCTGTTGCTCAGCCCTGGGCAAAGCAGGCTGTCTGTTCCCTTTGGCAAGATAAATTCCACACTGTCCTCTGCTAGGATGAACCTCAGTGATAGCAGTGATGGTGTTCAGATACCCTGCTGGAGTTGCCCAAAACAGAGCTGTTCTTTGTCAAAATCATGCACATGGGTGTCATGTCACTAAGAACTGCTGGTAGCCCGAAACCCACGAAACTTTGTCGTGCTTAGGAGAGCTCAGCGAGAAGCAGAAGGCGGAGCTGGAGTGGAGCCTGGTCCAGGTGAAGAGCCAGGAGCGGGACTTGAACACACTGAGGGAGAAGCTGTCGGAGATGTCCAAGCTTGTGGCTCAGAAGGATCAAGAGCTGAAAGCAGCAGCTGCAGAGTTAAGGTATGAGCTGCCAGGAGCTGCTGGCTTGCAAAAGTTGACCTGCAGATTCCCAGCAGGTGACTGCAGGTAGGTATCTCCCCTGGGGCAAAAGGTATGGTTGAATGCAGAAGACTCGAACAGAGGCACGTGTGTTCTATGGAAATGTCGCATGTTCTGAAACGGGGGCTGTGAGGAGCTCCTGTCTATGGACTTGTAACCAAATCATGGCTCAGTAATGTGCTCCCACCCACACTGTGGACGTTGTCCAGGTTGTTGCTCCGTGCAAGCTGTTGGGTTGACCCCCATCCGTCACAGTTGTACAGCAACGCTTTTGTCTCTTGGCACAGGCAAGCCCAAGAAGACTGCAAAGCGCTGCAGGCTGCATCCCGAGAGAAGGCACAAGAGCCGGAGACTCTTCTGCAGGCACGGGTGACACCTGCCATGGTGGAGGTAGCCTCTGAGACGGTAAGGCTGCAGGGAGACCACCAGAAACTGCAGAAGAAGCAGAACAAACAGCTCAGAAATGAAGGAAGCAGTGCTCACCAAGCCCCAAGAGAGCACAGGATGGCTCAGACTCATGTCCTTGAGGGCTTCAAGTAGCTGGGCTGAGGACAAAGGAGGATTGCTAAACCCATGCCAAAATCCAGAAAGTGGAGGGAGAATGGGGACAACGTGCAGTTTGTGTCATTCCTCTTTTCTTGTTTTTCTTGCTGAAAATAGGTTGCTTGGGTGATCTGCTCCCATTTCTGCTGCTGCCTTGGCGTGCAGCTGCCAACAAACTGTGAAGGTCAGGATCTCAGTCCCACTTGTGAGAGGATTTGCTGAGATTATCTATCAGGTTTCCAAGGGTTCTCCATACAAAGTGTTTCGTGTAGTCATGGTGAGGGTTGGCAAAGCCTCGTGCCTCACTAGGTGAGTTGGGAGCAAAAAGGGAGCCACACAGGACAGCTGGACGTCCTTCCACTGGACGTCCTTTCCTTAGCAAGGGCAGCTGGTGCTGGTGTGCCTGCTCGAGAGCAGGGCAGCAGTGCCCTCCGTGCTCCTGCGCTGGCATTTCTGCCGGCTAATTAGCTGATGTTTGTACAGCACTTTGGAAATGCGAAGTGTTGTGTGTGCTAATGGCTGTTCAAATTGCCAATTAGAGTGGGTAACAGCTCAGTAAGAGAGCTGTAACTCTTCCCAGCCTTCCACAACCTTGCTTGACCGTGAATGCCAGCTGTGTCAGCCACACGGGAGCAGGTCTGTGAGCGTAGGGTGTTTTGTTGTGCAGGAAGAGGAGGAACGGTCCTAGTTCTGTGCTGACTCACCGTCTGAATTCCCTACTTTTAGAGATCTGAATAAATCAAAGGTGGTTCCAGGAGCAGATGGAGGGACTGTAGAAATGGTACAGCCTGTACCGCAACAGTGGCAGACGCCGTGCCAGCTCGAGGGGCTGGCTCGCTGTTGGTGATGTGGTGACTCACGGCTGGCTGCGGAGCAGGAGGTGTCGCCGTCCTCTCCTGCAGGAAGGCAGCTGGGAAGCACAGAGCTCTGTGGGTGCAGCACAGCCGCTGACGGGGAGTGCAGTGCTTCTCCAGGCAGTTGGCAGCTTTCACAAGCACTGTGCAGGTTTTGGTAGCACGCTCACCCCATTCTGTGTCTGAGGCTGCTCATTGTCATCGGGCGTTGTGCTCGATGGGTCTGGGAGGGCACCATGCGTGTGTGAGCACGGAGCTGTTATAAAAGAGAGTGATGCACGAGGATCGTGTAGAAATGCAGGCCAGCAAGTGAATCCAAAACAGCAAATGCACTGCTTTAGCAGGAAATAGTCAAACAAAATCCCCGTGTGGCCTCAGAGCCAAGCACTGTGCCTCTCCCAGCTCCCTGGAGTGTTGTCAGGGCTTACGTCCTCCAGCGGGCTGTGACTGGTGCAGCAGGGCATGAAGCTGGTACCTGGTGCTTCAAATCCCCGGGGAGGCTGTGCTGCAAGTCGAGGCAAGTCCCCTGCTTTCTGCGACAAGAGCATTGCTCCTGGTGTGTCCCAAATGCCTGGCGTCATACAGAAAGGCTATTTTGGCTGCAGCCAAGCACCCCCCGGGTATGCAGGGCAGAGCAAGGTTCAATCTGGGTGAGAACCAGATGTGCTTTGAATTTCAGGAGCCAGCTTTGGACCTGGCTGAGCTGGGTGCAAAATGCCGAGGCCTCAGGCACGAGGAAACAATCCAGCGCCAAAAAGAAGGCTTGGTGGAGCTCCGGGAAAGGATCAAGCTGCTGGAGAAGATGCAATCCTCGAGTAAGTGCACCACGATGTGCTTTTAGTAGACATGGAAAGGGCATCTGCACATCCAGCTGGCATTGCTAGGTGCAGAGGACAAAATGAGAGCAGCTGGGTGGCAACTGGCACATGTGAGACATCTGAGGAGGTGTGGAGCCAGCAGAGAGGCAGCTGGCAAAGGGTTTGAAGCTGTAGCCACGATGCTGTGGAGTCGGGCACAGCCTGGAAGCCCAGCTCAGCAGGCATTTGCTCCTGCACTGGGGTGCAGCTCTCCTCCCGACAAGAGAGAAAACAGCCTGGTAAAACTTGTCCTTCACCAGGCTCTTTCTGTCCTGGGTATCCCTGTGCCTGGAGCAGTACTGGAAAGCAACACCACCTCTGCAGTGAGAGCTGTGGAGTAGCAGTTTGTGGTGCAGCCTCTGAAATTCCACTTCCAAAATACGTAGCACTGCTACTCGTGGAGAAAAAACAAATCCCAAAAGCCACGAGAGCGATGCCTGCAGGAAGGGCTGCAGCATGCTGTGGTCTGTAGCCTGTTCTGCAGGCGCTGTGCGGTCCCTGCAAGGGAAAGCCTGGCAAGCCTGAGCTGTTGCTGTTCTCTGAAGCCACAAAGTGTCCGAAGTGAGAGAGTAACGACTCCGTGGGTGTTTGGTTTCCTCCAGTTGTCATGAGCAAGGCTGCCCAGTCACTCATAGTCCAGCAGACAGACTTGCCAGAGAAGAGAGCCCAGAAAGCAGGCCTCGAGAAGGAGGCTGCACCGCTGTCAGGAGCAAAAACGAAGTGCAGCAAGGTAAGAAGGAACCCATGGCTTGCTGGGTGGAATGGGGACATTGAGGTCTTTGGATAAAAGAGGGAAGGGGGGGAAAAAAAAAAAGCTAGGTGGGAGGCATGAAATCTGTCAGGATATAACATATAACAGGCAGCACATGCAGGGGGGATCGGAGTTCCTGTATGGTGCAGCGCTGTGCCCAGCATCATCGGCTCGGTGCTGCTCAGTGGGGCCACGGACTGACCTCAGTGAAGCTGTTGCCCTGCAGCGCTGTGAGCACGGTTTTCCCATGGAGCAGAAGGGAAAGTTGAGGCTGTGAGCCATCGAATGAGGAGGTGGGTGAGCTCTGTCAGTCTGTCCTTGTCTCTGCAGTGTCTGGGACGATTTCCTGACAGGTGCTCGCACGTGACCGCCCACGAGACAGCAAGCTTGGAGGTGCTGGAAGCATTAGACCTCGGGGAGAGGATGGTACGTCACCAGGAGATGTGGTAAAACTGTGCCGAGCACTCACACATCACTTTCCAGAGAAAAGGGGAGGGTGTCTGGGTGCTGCAGAGTGCCAGGCACTGCGCACAGGTGAAGGTTGTGTGGCAGGAACCAGCAAGAGGCAAGCACCTGCCTGGACGTATCTGGCCTCTCAAGTTCTTCTCCCCTTCCCACCTACAGGCTCTGGGGGTGCTCCCAGGGAAAGCAGGGTTAGGCGTAGAGGATGGGTTGTGTACACGAGGGAATCTGCCTTAATCAACCTAATGCACCTGGGGAATGATGAGAGAGAAGCTGAGGAGCGATAGACACTGCTGGCACAGGAGACAGACATCACTAGCGAAGGGATGGAGCTGTGTGAGAGGGCCTCCTTACCCTGAAACGTGCCAGATATTGCCAAGGAGGAGAAATAGCATGCCTCGTGCGGAGGAAGGGCTGGGACTGGGGAGTCTGTGTTTGGGAAACCAACGCCGGGTGTGCAAATGGCTGCTCTGGGGGCTGGTTGTGCTGCTCCAGGTGCGGCGCTGCTGCCGGTTCTCTGCCTGCGGGGATGAATGGGGGCCCAGCTGGGCGATTCGGAGAGCTCTCGGAAGAGCTCGCATGGGGAAAGTACGCGTAGTGGTGAAACAAAGGGGAGCACTCGCAGCACTTTACATGAGATGTGTGAATCTCTTGAAACACGAAAGCAGAATGGAAGCAGATGGCCGAGTGGTGTGATCGTACTGGAAGTAAGACTTGGCAGGAACAGTAATTAATGCATTTCCTATTCTTCTCGCAGTACCTGGACTTAATTTGTGCTCTGGGAAGGCTGATGAATATGGAGGAGCTGGCAGGAATGCAGTCTGTGCAGCATCTTCCTCAGGAAGAGAGGGAAAAAGTAGGGCAACAGAGACGGAAGGACTTCGAGCTGCTGTACGAGAAAATCAGCAAGCTCAAGAGTCGCCTGGAAAAGAAAGAGGAATTGCTCAAAGATTACGAGGCCCAAATCAAGGAGCTCAGGTACAGCGAGGGGACGGGGCTGTCGCACGATGTGGTGGTGGGGAAAGGAGCGGGGTGAAACCTTGCAGTCGGTGAACTCTCATGCTTTGGGGTCTGCCTGGGGAGGCTCCTGTGGTTATTGGCCTCCTGTTTTTTGAAACAGAGAACTACGAGGGACATCTCTCTGTAGGAAGGCCAGACTGTGGTGGTATCTGTTGTGCTGTAGGGACTGTGTTTCCAGGGCCAGTGCAGGCATGGAAACTTCTGGGACAGGCTGGCAGGTGTGGGGCAAGAAGCAGAAAAGCATTCTCATCCTAGATGGCTCTGTGTGGAGCTTCATCAAGGAGCTGGGCAGTGCTGCTGTCCATGTTCTTGTGGTGTTAGGTTATCAGGCTTTCCTGGGGGGGCTTCCTCCTACTCATCATGAATGTGAAGGACCCTGTAACATCTCTCTGAATCGGAAAAGGAGATGGTGAAGATGAAATGTGGTCCTTGTGGTAACAGAAAACATCCAGACAGCTCAAAACACCAAAGCACTGGGCTCTGCTCTCTGAGTACGTGGCGACAGGCTCTAAATTGAGACGGAAGGGCTGGTGGCTGGGGCAGTGTGTGTGTGACAAGGGGTCAGCTATGGGGTGTGAAGGGGGAAAGCTGCGAAGGGAGGCTGCATCCCAGGCCCAGCACAGGCAGGAGGAGAGGGCGATGGCACGGTCACAGCTCGGCTCGGGGGGAAAGGCCCACACGGGTGTTTCGTGCAGGCTGAACCAGGAGGCCTTGCAAATGTGCCAGGAAGAGGTGTTGAAACTGGAAGATGAAGTCTACAGGGAAGCAGAAGAGAAAGCTCTGCTAAGAGAGGCTCTGGAGAGGACCCAGGTCCAGCTGGGGCAGGAGAAGAGGCTGAATCGAGTGGTGAAGCAGCGCAAGGTAAGAGGGGCCAGGTGAGGGGAGCCTCTGTGCACAGAATCCACACGGGTGGTGTAGGTGAGCCTGTGGCAGGGTCTGACTGCTCAGCTGGTGTGAAGACAGCCCAGGCAGCTCGTGCAAGGAGAAGTAACGTGATTGCTGGTTTTATCCAGAGCCTTGACAAGGAGAAAAGAAAGGAGAAGGTGCCTCCTGGCTGTGCCCATTCTTCCAGAGGACGAGGAGGGAAGGTACGGTGCGAAGTTGTGGGTGCCCCATCCCTGCAGGTGTTCAAGCCCAGGCTGGGTGAGGCCCTGGGCAACCTGATCTGGTGGGTGGCATCCTGCCCACGGCAGGGGGCTTGGAACTGGATGACCTTTAAGGCCCCTTCCAACCCCAGCCATTCCCTGGTTCTATGGAGATGGGCTGAGCTTCTTGTGGGCTCTCACAGGAGAAGCAGTGGTGCAACGAGCCTCTCTTTTTCAGCCTGGACCCCAGCCAGTGGTGCCAGCGAAGCTGAAGACCAAGGAATGCCCAGCAGAACCCTCAGAGGTGACGGGTGGCACGTAGGAGTACCACCCCACGGGCCTTCAGCTCACAGAGGAGAACGGCAGGGAAGCACCATTGGGTTTGGGTGCAGCACCAGGAGGGCAGGTAGTTGGAAGAACCTGTGCGAGAGGATCCCGGGGTGTCCCCTGGGACTGCTGCAGGGCCCGTGAAGCACTCAGGGGCTTTGGAAGTCCTGCGGGACCTGTACCACAGCACACGGTGTGGTTTGTGGGGGTGTGAATACAGCCTGGTGAGCGCCTGTGAGGTGGGTTGCTGGTGTGTGATTTCCCTGCCACGCCGACTTCTCCCTTGGGACCCCCATGGGCTTTCCAGGGGAGCAGCGTGGGGGCACGAGGGGCGCAGAAATGGGGACAGGAGAGACAGGAGGGGGCACGTAGTGCTGAGCAGGGCTGCCGAGGGGGACGAGGAGCCACAGGTATAAAATGTGAGAGAGCATCGGGGCAAGACCAGAGCTCTGGGGGGTGTCACACGCTGCCCGTGGGCAACCGGGGCAGGTTTGGGGGGGATCCAAGCGCCCCCAAATGTCCCCTCCCTCCATCCCTGCCCCTCTCAGCGTTGGCACAAGCGTGGTGCGGGGGGAGGATGCCGAGGAGCGGAGCACAGCAGCGGCTTTCCCCCATCCCGGGGGGGGTCCGCGGAGGGCAGGGGGCGTCGGGCTGCGGGGAGGAGCGGGGCGGAGCGGGGCGGGGAGGCTGCGGGGCGGCCATCCGGGCACCATGGCGGCGGAGGAGCTGGCGGAGAGGCTGGGCCGGCGTTTGGGGATGCACGAAGGAGAAACGGAGCAGCAGAGGCGGCACGAAGCGGAGCAGGGACCGGGATCGGCACCGGGACCGGGACCCGCACCGGGAGCGCTGCCCCCGGGCAGCCCCGCGGGGAGGGCGGGGGGCTCCGAGGGGTCCCCCGGGGGGGGGCGCCGCCTTTTCAGCCCCGCCGCGGAGTTCCGCGAGTTCTCCCGGAGGCAGCTCCGCGACATGGAGCGGCTCTTCCGACAGTGAGTTGGGGAGATTTGGGGAGGATGGGGGGGGGTCCCCGGGAATGTCCCCCCCCCCCCTCCCCGCTGCTGTCTGCTGGAAGCCCCCGGTGCCCTGCAGGAGGCACCCCCGGGGTCCCCCTCCCTGCCCCATCCTGGGTGTAGGTGTTTGGGGGTGCCCTGGAAGCCCCCCAGCCCTTGTAAGAGGGACCCCCCCAGGTCCCCTGTTCCTCGCAGCCCCCCTCTTGGCTCCCTGCAGGAGCAGCCCCTGGGGTGACCCCAGCTCCATGCAGGAGGGGATCCCCTGTGTGTCCCCCCCTTCTTGGCTATGGGAGGGGTTCCCAGTACCCCCCGTTCCCTTGCAGGAAGCCCCCGACCCTAAAACCCTTGCAGCCCCCACCGTGTCCCTGGAGGTGAGGGGGACACCCCAAAACCTTGGGGATGAGACCAGGGAAGGGGACAGAGGAGCAAACCCGCTCCTGCCACAGATCCCCGAGGAGAGGTGGGGGCAGCGCTCCCCCAGCCACACCAGGACCCCCGGGACCTCTGCCCTGGCTTCGTGCACGGGATGGGGCTGCAGCAGCAGGTCCTGAGCAGGCAGGTGGCACGTCCCCGGGGTCCCTTGTCACGCCGCGTGTCCCCTACCACGGCGAGGCTCAGTGCTGCGAGCACGGCTCTGGGAGCTCAGGGCCCTGCTGCGCTGCCCTGGGTCAGCAGGAGCCAGCGAGGGGGCTGCTGGCAGCAGGTGCCAGAGGTCTGGAAATTTCCAGGGGAAAACGGGAGCTGCAGCAGCTCCGAGCCCGGCTCTGCCAGGCCCAGGGGGTGTGCGAGTAGCCGGGAGGCAGCGGGACAGCTCGGAGCATCCTGCAGCGCCTGGAGGGTGCTGTGAGCTGAAACACAAAACCAGCGTGCGGCACAGCAACGAGCGCCAGGCGAGGAGGAGGAGGAGGGCACGAAGCTGCTGCCCCCCCCCGAAGCACCAGGCAGGGCTGTGGGGTGGACGCAGGCAGCCCCACGGTGCCCGGCTGTGCCCTGGCCGGGGCTGGCGCAGCAGATGGCAGCGGCGCGGGGTCTGGCGCTGGAGCCGCGGGCGGCAGCCAGACGTGTGTGCTCGCACGCGCCGCAGCGAAAGGAGCAGCGAGGGAGGTGGGAGGAGAGGCAGCGGCGGCGGCCGCGTGGCCGGGGAAGCTGTGAGCAAAAAGGGGGGGTCCCCAAGGGGAAGAACGCGGGGTAGGGGCAACGGCCAGGCTGCGGAGACGAGCCCAAACCACGCTGCGCTCGCTGCAAGCACGCCACGTGAGCGGTTTGTCCTTTCTCCCCCCCCTCTCCCTGCTGTGTTAGGATTGCGACAGGAGAGGATGCAAAGCCCACCGCAGTGGCTGCAGAAATGCACGCTCGCTGCGGTGGCCGTGGCCAGGGGCTCGCTTTGGAGCAGTGGAGCTCGCCAACCCCGCGCTGCCACCAGAGCTCGGAGGCAGAGCGTGAAGGTTTTTGTGCCCCCCAGGCCAGCTCGTAGCGGTGCAGGAGAGAAAAGGGGGCTGCAGCTGTGCTGTGAGCCGAGCAGACCGCGGCAGCGAGGGGACAGATGAGTCACAGCCCCGCGGAGCTGCCTGTGTCGTGCTGAGCATTGCAGCCGCGTTTCCTGCAGCCTTAGAAGAGAGAAGTCAAAAAAAAAAAAAAATACACAAAAAAAACCCATGAGGTGTCCCCAGTGCTGCCCTGGGCGAGGCGTCAGCCCGGCACGCTGGTGGGGGGCATTGTGCCTGCTCCCCTCTCCTCCTCCAGCTTCGTGTTGTGCCCCGTGCGGCGAGGCAGCGCTGCTTGGGGGCTTCAACACCTCCCTCCCGTGGGCCGTGCGGCGAGGAGGGGAGCAGCGCCTGCAGCACACGGGCTTCATCCCCTGGTCCTGTGCAGCACTGGCTGCGTGCTTGGCAGCATCCCCGCGGGTGCCGGTGCCAGGAAGGGCGCTCGATGGGCAGGAGGAGAGCTGAAGATGCTCCTGGGGGCTGTTAGCGGTTGGATGGAGGCGGCGGTGGTTTGGCGAGGCTGTGGCTGAGCTGGCAGGGAGCGATAACGGTGCGACGGGGCTGTGCTGCTGGCCCGCAGGTACGACGCGGGGAGGGACGGCTTCATCGACCTGATGGAGCTGAAGCTGATGATGGAGAAGCTGGGAGCGCCGCAGACGCACATCGGCCTGAAGAACATGATCAAGGAGGTGGACGAGGACCTGGACAGCAAGCTGAGCTTCCGCGAGGTATAAACCAGGGCTACGGGGCCGGGAGGTGAGCCCGGGCTGTCCCTTTGCGGTCCCTGCACGCTTGGGTAGGGGAGAGGCAGCCAGGAGCTGGCGGTGACGGGGACAACCCCGCTCTGTGTCGCAGTTCCTGCTGATCTTCCGCAAGGCGGCGGCAGGCGAGCTGCAGGAGGACAGCGGGCTGCACGCCCTGGCCCGGCTCTCCGAGATCGACGTCTCGACGGAGGGCGTGAAGGGAGCCAAGAGCTTTTTTGAGGCCAAGGTAAGGGCCGCGAGCCACAGCGGGGGCCGGGGGGGTGGCGGGGACCTCTTTGGACGTGCCGCTGTCCCCAGGCGCAGGCCATGACCGAGGCCAGCCGCTTCGAGGAGGAGATCAGAGCAGAGCAGGAAGAGAAGAAGAAGCAGGCGGAGGAGCTGAAGCAGAGGAAGGCGGCCTTCAAGGAGCTGCAGTCTGCCTTCGCACAGTGACCGCGGGTCCGCGCCGTGCCGGAGGGACGTGGCGGTGCTGGGGGGGCCTCGTGCAGGAGGATCCATGCCTGGCTGTCCCCTGCTGTCCCCTGCCAGCCCCTGTCCCCCGAGCGGCGCTCGTCCCCTGGGTGTCGTCGTGTCTTGCATGCGCCGTGATTTGGGCCGGGCTGGGGGCTGTGCCGCGGGTCGGTGCCCGTCGGCGTCGCTGCGTGTGCGGCACGCCGGTGGCACCGGGAGCGTGGCGAGCCCCCGGGGCCGACCTCTGTGGCAGCGGGGCGAGGGCCGGCGGAGTCGTTGTCTGCGTGTTCGGTGTCGCTGTATCCTCTGTGCGAAGCGGGCGAGCGCCTGCCCCGCCGTGACCCTCAGGGTCAGAGCGGAGGCGGCCTCGTGTCCTCTCAGATTCTGTTTATTTTGGTAAAAGATGTCCAGAAAGGCCCCCGCAGGGTGGAGAAGCTTTATTTTTTTTTTTGTGTTCGTCTTCTAAGCAGCCCAAAGGGAAGGCGCTCCAGCGAGCGGTGCCTCCTGTAGCTCGACCGCTGTTCCTTTGGGGAAGGGTTGTCCAGGTGGCCGTAATGTCAAGGGCGGTGTTTGTCTCAGCTGCTCCTTCCAGTCCGTGGCACGGGTGTGTGTTGTGTCTTTTTTTTTTTTTTTTAAATCCCAAATAAAGATTATATTTCCTAAGTCTTGCAGCTGCCTATGCCCGGGGGACGGCGGGGAGCCGGCTGTGTGGTGGGCGTTTAGGATGGGGGGAGAGGGCTCCTGGAGCACGGCGGGGAGGGGACTGCCACCCCCAGAGTCCCCAGCTGGCTGTGGACGGGTCCCAGCCCCCCCGTGACGAGGCGAGCGTGGGTGCCACGTCCACCCTGTGGGACGGAAGGGTGCGTGCGGGACAAGTGCATCCGTTCCCAGGAGGGCTGAGCTGCCCCGATAAGATCTCACGAAATAGCCGGGGTGGTGGCACACAGGCAGCCCGTGCTGTGTGGGACATCGCCACCTGGCACCAGAGGGACACCAAGACCCAAGGCCGGGCGGTGACCCTGAGGTGCCGCGGCCGTGCTATAAGAGCTGGGGGTGCCTCGGTGCCGCCGCACCACGACTGCGACCATGCTGGGGGCTCTGTGTCTCGCTGTGCTGCTGGGCTACGGTGGGTGAGGAACCGGGGTTGGGGGGGACAGCGTGTCCCCCCCGTGTCCACTAATGTCCCCCGGTGGTCACTAATGTCCCCGTTCCGGGTGTCGTACAGCCTACGGATGCGGGCAGCCGGCCGTGCCCCCCCAGCTGGGCAGCCGCGTGGTGGGCGGTGAGGATGCTGTAGCCCACAGCTGGCCGTGGCAGGTAAGGTGCAGGGGGTGGCAGGGGCTGTGACACCGGGAACCCATCCCGGGGCTGGCGGCATGGGGACGGGGTGACCAGCACCCCCCACCACCACGCTGTGCCCTCCCAGGTCTCGCTGCAGTACAGCCGCAACGGGGACTGGAGCCACACGTGCGGTGGGACCCTCATCGCGCCCAGCTGGGTGCTGACGGCCGCCCACTGCTACAGGTGGGCGACGGGGAAGGGATGAGAGACCCTGGGGGGGGTCCCAGGGTGCTGCTGCAGCCGCTGATCCCCGCTCTGTGCCGCCGGCAGCTCGAGCCTGACGTACCGCGTGGTGCTGGGCGAGTACGACCTGACCGTGGAGGACGACGGCGCCGTGGTGGCGGAGGTGGAGGACTTCATCGTGCACGAGAACTGGAACTCCTACCTCATCGTGTAGGAAAGGGTGATGGCAGCAGGGAGGGAGGGGGCTGCGGCCCCGTGCTGGGCTGGCGGTGGGGTTGGGCTGGTTCCTGCCCTTTCCTCTCCACGGGGCTTCTCCTCGCAGCAACGACATCGCCCTGATCAAGCTGAAGGAGCCGGTGCAGGAGAGCGAGAGCATCCAGGCGGCCTGCCTGCCGCCCAGCGGCCTGGAGCTGCCCAACGACTACCCCTGCGAGATCACCGGCTGGGGACGCCTCTGGAGTAAGCAAGGGGAGGCCGTGGGGTGGGAAACGGGACGGGGCCCGGGTGCTGCGGGTGCGAGGCGAGGCTGTCGTTGCAGCGAACGGGCCCCTGGCTGACGTCCTGCAGCAGGCGCTGCTGCCGGTGGTGGATTACAGCACCTGCTCCCAGAGCGACTGGTGGGGCTACCTGGTGCGCACCTCCATGGTGTGTGCCGGCGGCGACGGCGTCGTCTCGGGCTGCAATGTGAGTGTGGGGAAATTTGGGGAAGGATGGGGGGGTGGGGGGGGATGTCTGCGGCCCTGTGCTGGTGGTAACGCCGTGTGGTGCTGTGCCCGGGCAGGGGGATTCGGGCGGGCCCCTGAACTGCCAGCGCGAGGGGCTGTGGGAGGTGCACGGCATCGTCAGCTTCGGCTCCTCCTGGGGCTGCAACACCTACAAGAAGCCGACCGTCTTCACACGGGTGTCTGCCTACATCGACTGGATCAACGAGGTGGGTGCCCGCCCCCCCCACAAGGCTCCCCTGCCACTGTTGGGGTCTCCCTCATCGTCACCCAGCCGCGGGTCTGACCCTGGGGCCTTTCTTCTTGGCTTCGGCAGAAAATCAACGCCAACTGAGGACGTGCGGCCGCTGTCACCTGCCATGGAGCTGTGGTGCAATAAAGAGAAATAACCAGCTGTGTTTGGCCCTGTGGTTACTGGGTGGGGTGGACGGGGGCTCAGTGAGGCAAAGCCCAGACCTGCGGGGAGCGGGGGCTGTGGGCATCAAGGCTGGCCCCACACTTTAGGGTGGGAGAAGCCAGGCTGGGCTGGCTCTGGCCCCAGTAAGGGCCCCAGAGGTGCACTGGTCGTGGTTTGGGTGCCCCCCATGTCCCTCAGGGCAGGGGCTGCCAGCTGGGGCAGCAAACACTGCAGGGGGTGCTGGTGATAGGGGTGGGGTGGTCGTGCCTGGTGTGTCCCCAAAAGGGCTCCTTGGGATTGCGATCCCCACAGGGCTGGGTTTGTGATGCAGCACCTTGGGACAGGCGTGGCCTTGTTCTCTGTGCCTTTGTCCCTGGGTTGTTGTAGGAGAAAACCCAGGGACAGTTTCTTTGTGACCAGCTGCCATTGTCCTGTCAGCGTCAGCCCCGTCAGCATCAGCTCCCCCAACCCAGGGAGGTGCCCACGCAGTGCCCCAACACCCCTCGTGGCCAAGCCCTGTGGTGTCAGGCATCCAGCGAGGCAATGTCCTGTGGGCAAACATCAAGGCACAGCCAAAAACACCACAGAACTGCGGTGTGAGCTCCACAGGGCCCTGACGGGTTTGGGGTGGCCGACAGTGCTGCAGGTGGAGCCACCTCGCCTTGCTGTGGTGTGTGCCTGGCCTAGCAGGGAGACAAAAAGAAGTGGCTCACTTTGCTCTAAAAGTAACGTTTATAACAAAAGTAGTGTAAAGTATTAAACCTGTTTTTATTTAAGACTGCATATCAACTGTATAATTACCCACAAATACAATTTATAAGTAGAAACTACCCATAGGTAGCAAACATACAGACAGTAAGAGTAATCAAATGTACTTTCTAGAAAGTACAAAGTGCTAGGCAACTATAGCACACGATAGTGTAGATAGGCATGTATATATAGGGAGAGGTAATTTTAGTACTCTAGATTATACTATGCCAGTTATCTACTCAGAAAACTTGGACAACATAGTAAAATAAATTTGTATTTATCCAGTACGTGGGTAACTTTGCAGTACTCAGTTCCTTACACAGTACTTAGGTACCTACACAAAAATATAGAGATTTTAAACTGGTACTTTGTATGTTGTATGGAGTCTAATAAGGAAAAACCCTAACTGTATAAAAAATTTCACACCTATTTTTCATTATTTCCATAAATACAAAGTAATCTATAACTTGTACTGGGTAAGCTATTACTTATAACTTTATCTACTGTCAATGTTTGATCTAAGTACAAACATTATGTAATAATCGTAAAGAAAAACTTCCTCCATTATTTATACGTCATGCTTGCAATAAATTTACATGTAGTGATAGAGAATTTATAGGTACTCAAATTTTTGTTGACAGTATACACTGCAAGTATTTTACTAGCTGAAATTTGCTTAAAAGGGCGTAATCGAAGTAGTTTGTCTGTATACAGGTAAGTTGGTTAAAAGTTCTTTTATGCAAACAGTAATTTAACAACTCCCATACTCCTCATATACAACCTGTGTAGTTACAATGAGATCCTCCACACAACCTTTGGCTATGCAAAAGCTGTTGCCCATTACACGAGCACGTTTACACCTTGCTGTTGTTCCAGTAATGACCTCACATTGTCAAATGAATGCATTTTTAGGGTGTTTTTGTAAACAGAAACAGACACTATCATTTGTGAGTGGTTAAATACACATGGATAAGGACTTAGCTCTTTCCTGTACAGAAGTACAGCGCTGATTGCTTACCTTACTTTTTCTTTTACTTGCATACACAATGTTCATACATAACCTTATAGCAAAAGTAAGTACACGTAAGGGTAAAGGTACACATTTGAGCATCATCCCTTCCACAGCTGCTGAAATGCAGCAGTGGCTCCTCGGGTTCACAGCTGCCTTCCCTTTAACTCGCAAACACTGCTTGTGACCTGAAAACATCATCACAGCTACACGCAGCACCTTTGTAAGGGTTTTGATGCTACCAGAACTGATATTCAAAGGAATCCTCACCAGTTTTCTGCAGTAATGCACATTCAGCATTCACAAGTTTCCTCTGAAGGACATGCTCCCCCTTCTCTGCTGCATTAACAGCAGAAGACTCAACTTTTCGAGCAAGGTTTCTTGCTCTGCAGACTTTAGGCATTTCTACACACTTAGGCTACACATTTAGCCTCTGGCACATGCTGAAAGGGCACACATGAGAGGGAACGGATGACAACACAATGGAAAAGATTTTTTGCCTTTTGTTTTATTGAGAAAGAAAAATTGTTGTTGTAGAAATCATTCCTTTCCATTTATTCCATCGGTCGATTCCATTGATTCCCTCAATCAGCTAGCCAGGCAGCAGAGGACACAAACACGATCATCAGAGACCAGCACCAAGAGGCAGAGCGCAGCCACGTCACGGCCAGGTAGAGGCCCCGGCCCCGTGAACAGATGATGGGGCTGATGGTCCTGGCAAAGGCGATTCCTTCAGATGCCCCTTCCTCATCACTAGCACAGGGCCCGTCCTCATTTTATTGCTATTTCACAGTGATGGCTGCTCACAGATCAGATTTCTCAAGACGAGCATCTCCACAGACAGACAAAGGCCTTCAGGAGCACTCGGTCCGAGCCACAGCAGGCACAGCTTTTGTCCAGCCACGGAGAAGTGATTTTCACATGGGCAGGGAGCTCAGTGCCCACTCGTCACTTGCACATGAAGAAGAATTTCTTACGGAGGAAGTTGAAGCAGCCCGGGATCTGCTTGAACTTCCCCTTGGCAGATACGGCGTTTGCCACCTGGGAACAGAAGGACAGCTTCAGGTGCTGAGCGTGGGACTGACAATTTTTTAAGGCAATTTTAAGGCAAACTGACATTTTTTTTAAGGCAATTTTTTTTTGGGGGGTGGATTTTCCTGACAAATTAAAAGCTGTGTTTTCAAGACTACGTTCAGTAACATCATTCCTTTTACAAATGTAGGCCTGCCTGCTCTGACTGATCGCAGCTCTGGTTATTGCCTTCATCTCTTTCAAGACTACAAACAGAAGGAGAAAAAGTGATAAAGTAATTAAAACAAAACAAAAAACCAAGACATTTACCCGCACCAACACGGTTAGCAGGTCTTCAGAATGGGCATGCTGTCCCAGCATGCTGTCCAGCGTTTCCACATACCACGATCCACTCGACTTATCCCTCCAGGAGACAAAACCTTCAGAGAGAGGAGGAGAAAATTACTCCTACAGCTGTTCTTGTCTTGCTTCACACCTCCGAGTGCCATCTCCATCAGACAGCTGCCCCTAACTTCGGCCATGAAGCTCAGTCTCTTCCACCAACTCAGCAAACCAATCCAAAATCTCTTCACACCCATTGCTTCTGCCTAATATTGTGAAAGATCTGCTCATCTTGATACTACAAGAGGCTCTACTGTTGCTAAGAAAGGGCCAGCTAGTGCCAAACAAGCATGCAGAACAGGGCTGTCTCTGTACAATGACGGATACCAACCACATCATGACATGGCAGTTCGGCAGCAGCTGCCTCCCCCAGATCTCCAAAATCCAGCTGCAGAACTAGGAGGACGGCTCGGGTATGAGTCTAGCACCCTTGGCACCAATTACTCTGTACCAGGCGAATGATTTGCATGAGTTATCTCACCTGGAAAGGTTGAATAGGACACCAGGATGTCACCGGGTGTGGGCAGACTGGCCACGGCATCCGGCTCGTCCAAATTACCCGAGGGAGCCTGGAAAGGAGTCGCGTCCGACTCTACGGAACTTCTGCAAGTTTCATCTTCGGGTGAATCGCAATCCACTTCAAATCCTTGATCTTTCTGGTCTGCAAAAAGCAGAACAAGAAACCCCGCTGCTCTCCTGACACATTCAGCAATCGTACATCCCCCATTATCAAGTGATGGGAAAAAAACCACAGAAATGCTGTTACAGAAATGCTATTTTCCTAAGGAAATCCTCCAACAAAACAGAGCTTTTCTGCTCTTTGGCTTGCTGCCGGAGTCGGTGCCATCAGGAAATTCACAGAGACGCCCTCGGGCCATGCTTCCCTGCTAACCTCATGGCTAAATACCTGGGGCAGGCAGCACACCCTCCTCCCGTGCTGCATTCCCAGTTGTGTGAAAGAACTACTCCAGCGCATGCAGGCCAGTTCTGTCCTCCTGTGAGATGCTCACGTCCGAGTCCTTTGACTCGACCCACATTAGAAGTAAGAATACACAGCTGGGAACACCAAAAAAGGGCTGGAGGAAAAGGCAATGGACAGAACAGGAAGGAGAAGCCAAAGCCTAACTGCGTTTGAACAGCCTGCTTACACGTCTGGAGCTAAAACAAAGATTCACCTCCACCACAGGCCTGGATGAAGAAGAGTTTGGGTTTTCCTCTCAAACTTGGGCAATTGGACCCATCGAAATGTTTCACAATCTTTTCGATTGGAATACTTATTCCGTCCGTTCCATAAATCCCTCCAGGAAACTGATTATGGCTTGTCTGAAAGAGGAAAATCCAAGAGCTACTAACACAGAAAGAATGGTGAGCTCAGAGGAAACCTGTTTCTGCACGAGTGCTCTCTTTTCTGTCTCTTTCCAGCATAAAGTTACCAGAATAAATCTCACTTCCTTGTATTTGTGCAATTACACACGCTGTATCAGCAAAGGGATGCACAGAAAGCATTTAAAATATCCTAAACCCCAGAAATTTGACCTCCCTGATTATCCAGCTCCTATCCCACCTCCTCTGGCAATGAGCTTCTTTACCCCCTGGGACAAAGGGCACACAACGTACAACATTTTTGCAAACAGCTGCTCTCCTCTCACTTCGAGGCCTACAACTTGGGATATTTGGGCCTTTAGTAGAGCTGGAGAACCAGGAAGGGCTCAGGAACTACGGCACAAAGGTCAGCACCACCTCCCTCTGCTCTATGCCCACCATCTGGTTCTGAATTGCAGGAGCTGCCTTCAGAAGCTGAGAGCACTTGTCCAAAGGCTGCCTGACCTTTGGAACAGCACCGCTG